CCCAGATGATTCACACAACTTGATTTTCATCTCAGGCCGTTTTCTGATGTAACTCATTGTGCTGCAGTGGATTTACTTGTCATCGAGCCCAGATTAAGTGAGAAAGAGGGAATTAGGTCCAGAGATTGCCTGGATGTGATTCTGCTGTGTTAAGGTTTGTGCAGTAATTTACACCATATAAAACTTATTTTTTAAGAGCTGCTTTGCAGAGGTGGGTGAGATAAATAATAACTCACTTGCATTTCTCACCTTAGCATTCTTTTTGCTGTTTAAGATTCACACTGCATACAGAAAGGCTGCAAGTGCTCTGAAATAAATGCCCAGTTCTGCAGTGGGTCTCTGCATGGAAACATGGGGTTTTTGGTAGTGTGAGTCAAAGGTATTTCTCTTTCTGGACTCATTCATAGCAATCCAAGAAATCAAAATCAAACATTGCGCAATGTGCTTTGGAGAGTTTTCAGGTTTTTGCTAAATTCTTGTATGTTTAGAAATTCTTCCCCTGGACTTTTTGTTGTGTTGTTGATGTACATGTGCACATATGATATGAAGCATCCATAGAAAAAAATGTTTAAAAAATGAAATTTTTACCACATATGTTGAATTTTTTGTGTGCTCAGGGGTTGGTAATACACAGATAACCTTCCCATCCACAAATAAGTACTGTGAAAGTATTTTAGATCTCACATTAATTGCTGGGGAATATTTTGTGGCAGTCTGGTTGGGATGAGAGTTACTGGGAGTACCTGGAGTATGGAAAAAGAGCAGAAGCAGGGAGATGATCAGGCCCAGCTCCGGGCAGAATAGGGATTCCTTCAAAAAAACAATTTTGAATTGTTTCTCTGGCATCTGACACAGGGATTTTGGGCTGCAAAACTTGAAGAACTGGTTATAAAATTGAAAAAAAAAACAAACCCAAAACAAATGTATAGACATTCTTCAGTCCACTTCACAGTACTTAAGTGGCTCTGGTTTTATGTGGTTTCAAATGAATCATTTTCTTTTTTAACTATTTAATGCAAGAAAACTTTCTGGTTTATTTTGAATTCTTCCTAACCCCATCACCTCCCAAAAATCTTTCTTCTTGTCTTAGTCTTCAGAAAAATATAGGGAGTTACTGAAGAAATAGCAATTACCAAACAACTGGGATCAGACATTCTGCCAGGTTTCTACAGCTTATGTCCCATGTGCTGCCTGTGCTGCTCAGGCAGACACTACCTGTGGGAAAGGTTTGTTTTCCAAAGGGAAAAGGCAGCCAAAGGCCTGATGTCAAATATTAATGAAGCACTAATTAGCTGCCAAGCACGTCTCCATATTAATGCCAAGGCCATGAAGTCAGGCAGTGCTAAACTCACTACAGAGCACCCCTAGATGTCACAACAGTCCCAGAGTCCAGAAGAAAAGTGGGACACAGAAAAGCAGAGAGGAGGAAAGCTTCTGGCATGACTAAACCATAAAATTCAAGAGCTTTGGAAACCCTGAGAGGGAATCCTGCCTCTGAGAGTTGTCAGGAAAAGATGTATGGAACAAACATGATCCTGAAGATCTTTCATGCACCTGGGTGACCCTGATTATATGGGCTTTAAATGTTTTTTATAGTAGGAATAAAGCAAAGGGAAAGGTCTCTGGGTTTTACTGAAAAGGGAAATTTTCATAATAAGAAAATTCATTCATAGAATTTTGATTGTAAGAGTTAGGAGCAGCTCTTAATGTTTTAATACCTTTGTGAAGGATTTTGCAAAATGGCTGCAATGATATTATATAAATATTTAGAGGAGTGCCTGGTGCCATTATTTCCATGGCTTGGGAAGCCTTTGCTCTTTAGCAATTTATTTCATGGAAGTAGAAGTACTTTTGAGATCTGTTTGAGATAATAGGATAAGCATTGCATATATTTGGCGTGGCATTTTAATAAAAGCTCCAAACACAAGCCCTTTAAAACTCCTGCCTGAAACTTTGATTGATCAAAATCAAGACATTTATAATGTTCCTGTCATTTTTTCAGCCATCAGTCCCTTTCCATGGCTGTGTTTAGACAGGAAGATGTGAGGTTTTTAATGATGTGGGGTAGAAGAGAGGCTGGGAGAGCTGGGGATGGAGAAGAGAAGGCTTTAGGAAGAACTTAGAGCTCCTTCCAGTGCCTAAAGGGGCTCCAGGAGAGGGACTTGGGACAATGGGCTGGAGGTGATGGTTTTAACCTGAAAGAGAGTGGGTCTATATGAGATTAGATACTGGGAATAAATTAATTTCTGTGTGGGTGGTGAGGCCCTGACACAGTTTGTCCAGAGCAGCTGTGGCTGCCCCATCCCAGGAAGTGTCCAAGGACAGGTGGGACAGGATTTGGAGCAGTTTGGGACAGTGGAACGTGCCCCTGGACATGGCAGGGGGTGGAATGATGTGATCTTTACATCCCTTCCAGCCCAAACCAGGGTTCCAACCTGACTTGACCAGTGCTAAGGTCAAGCAGGATTTTTCCATTTGGGATCACATTCTGATTTGCCAGCTGGGCATTTTTTCCCCTTTTTCTATGTAAGTTTTTCACAAAGGGAAGATGCCTGTAATGGGAGGCTGCCTGAACAGGGGGAACATCCCCTGTCCCCCGTTGCAGTGGGATCTGTGCATCTCAAATCCCATAAGAGCTTCTTCCCAGTGAAATGCCCTTTAATGAGGGCTTGAAAAGCAGTGGAGAGGGAACAACCTTCCCCCTATCCTCAGCATAAATCAATCCTTTGCATAAGCCTGCCTTTAATATAGGGATCCTGTAGCCTGGCTTCACAAATACCTTAAATCTTTCTCTTAAGCACTAATAATACTTAATAAAACTTTTATGAGCAAGGTACATTTTAGAGTAAATTTTCATATCCATTTTCATTTTAAAAGAACATCAAGCAGCAAATGTATTCATGGCAGAACAAAGTAATTTAGGAGAGTCACAAAAATGGCCCTGGCCCCCTCTGAAATAGTAGGAGAGCGTTGATTTGGCAAAGTGACCAGTGGGGATGGGATTCCAAAACTTAATTCACCATGAAGGACTTGAGAGGGAAGAAATTCCCACTTGCCTGCTAAGCTTATTCCTCTGCCTGCAGGGGTGAAGCAGAGCCTGGTTCATGAGGCTGCCCCAAATGTCCCTGGAGCTGGACTGCTCCTGGGGAATTCCTTAGGATCAGCATTGGCTGTGGCTGTGTAGGTGGGACTGTTTGGGGAGCAGATGGAATTGCCATCAGAACCAAGGCCTTGGGTGGGATTCATTGGCCAAAATCTTGTCATTAGTGCCATTTCAGGCAGCCAAGGGCAGCCTCCCTCTGCAGCTGCTGCTCCAGGAGTGTGTCCCACCAGTGCAGGTGTTTTGGAAGCTCCTGGCATCTAAAAGGCACCAGGTACCTTCCCTGAGTTACTGCCCTCCTGAGAATCCAAAAAAGACTCTTTTTGATACCAACCTCCTGCTGCCAGCACTCGACAGCAGCTGTTTTATTACACCTTAAAAGTTGTCCTGCTGTGCTCCTCACTTCACTTCTGAGCCCATCTGGCATCTGTTGTCTCTGTGGGATAAGGAACAGTTGGAAACCACTCACAAATTGTGTTCAGACCCACGGAACAGTTCCCAGAGGGAAGGGAACCTCTTTTTCCTCTTGCCTCACAAGCCAGGCTGTTAGTTCTGCAGTGTTTGGGCAGAATTCAGCGTGCCAGTCCTTCATCCCTGGGAGCTGGAGGCAGCTCTTGAAGCCCTCCCTGAGCTCCCATGGAACCATCCCTGCTGGATCCCCTGGCTGGAGCTGCAGGAGCCAGGCTGGCCAAGGAGGATGGTGCTGGTGTGCTGGGCAGGGCTGTGTGGGAGGTGGAATGGGGATTTCCAGGCTGGCTTTTTAAAATATGTGTAACAATTCATACATTTAGACTTGTTTGGCAGCAAAAGAACATTCATTTCCTCTAAATAACTGAGTGTTGAGGTGGAACAGTCTGTGAGGGATGTTGCTTTTTTTTTTTTGTCTTTACAAGAACATCAAGGAGCTTTGTGTAGATCTAAATTACTTGCGCAAAGGACAGGTAGGGGTTTGTAGTGGACAGTTTTGCTGATGAAGTGTGAATCCAACTTTCACCTTGTTGGCAAGGGCCCAGCAGGGCTCGGAGGACAGAAAATACTGCAGAATTTTACATCTCTCATGGCTATTAAAGTAATCAGAGACTTGGAGAATGGGACTGGAAGGGGTTTCCAGGATGTGTCCCCTGCCCAGCGAAGGTTGAGGTTGTTTTTAAACCCAGCTGGAGAGTGTCTGCCTCACCTGTCCTGAGAAACCACCAGAAAATGGAGGTTTCACACCCTCCAAGGCAATTTGTTCTACTGCTTAAACTCTCCTTACAGCCAGAAAATTTTCCCTTGTGCCTCACCTAAATCTCCTGTGCTGCAATTTCCTCCCATTATGTCCTGCCACATTCCCTGTGGATGTGATGAGCACTGTATTACTTCAAATTTTGAAACAGTTCTTTAGCTACCTGGGAGTGTTGTCATTACCTGAAGCTACATGTATCCATTTAGTTTAATCCATTCTCAGAGCAGAAATGTAACCTGAAGTTATCCTGATGTCAGGAGATTTAAAAAAGAAAAGAAAAAAAAAGGGACAGGCCACAAGAAGGAAGGTGTTTAACAGAAACCAGCTGCTCTATGTTGAGCAAATAAAGTATATAAAGTAGAAGTAAATAAAGGTTTTCTTTCCACTTGAACTTCTCAGATTGTAGAATCATTGGGAAATTTTTAGATGGAGTTTCCAAGTACCCTTCCAAACAAGAACTGTTTCGAAATATGATGAGAGTTTAAGAATGTGTCTTGATGTCTGAAATAAGGGGTCAGTCATTACCAAAGACAAATTGTTTGTCTGGGTGTGCACTGCATCTGAGAGAAGAGAAAATGTCAACCCCTTCACTGTGATCCTTTCCACAGAGGTTTAAATAACAGCGTTAATGAAGGTGTGACCCCTCTCATCACCTGCTGCCTTTGTCTCTTGCAGGAACCTCCTTTACGTGTATCCACAGAGCCTTAACTTCGCCAACCGCCAGGGATCTGCCAGGAATATCACAGTGAAAGTGCAGTTCATGTATGGAGAGGATCCCAGCAATGCCATGCCGGTGAGGGGGGCTCCGTGGGAAGGGCAGAGCACTGCTGGCAGGCAGGAAACCCCTGCCTGAAAACCTCACTGAAATGCATTTCAAAAGAACGAGTACAGAGGAATAGAAAATGGTATTTCAGAGCAAAGAGTGCATTTGTGTAGAGTTTGTGAGGTAACAGTAGATCAGCAGGAATTTTAACGTGTGATTATTGATTGTAAGGGTGGCGAGGCCCTGGCAGAGGTTGTCCAGAGAGATTCTCCATCCTTGGAAGTGTCCAAGGCCAGGTTGGATGGGGCTTGGAGCAACCTGGGCTAGTGGAAGCTGTCCCTGTCTCATTCCTGAGATGGGATTTAAATTCCCATCCAACCCAACCCATTCTGGGATTCTGTGTTTGCAGCAGACACTGCTCATGGTTGGAATAGAAGCTTTGTTTCCATGACAAGAATGAAAGGTGACAGCTTTGCTCAGGGCCAGCAGTGATCCCCACTCAGAGAGGATCTGTGCAGGGGTGGTTCCAGGGCAGTTCTTCTGCCATGTCTGTGTCCATGTGTCACTGGAGTTGTTGAAATTGTGCCTTTTCAGTGACTGAGTGAAGTGCTGCTTGTAAGTGAAGGGGCAGGGAGCAAGCTGGAACGGGTGCACAATAAGTGGAGCTCTAAATGTTTCCGCAGGATTATGGAACAAATTCTTGGCACAGTTTTAAAGCAGTTCTGTGTTTCTTTTCCCCTTTTTGCAGGTCATCTTTGGCAAATCCAGCTGTCCTGAGTTTTCCAAGGAAGCGTACACAGCCGTGGTGTATCACAACAGGTAAAACACAGTGTGGAAGTGCAGTTACTCACCAGTGACTGATGTTAATTATTTAACAATCAGTGTCTGGACAGCACTCACAGTGACTGCAGTGCCAGTTGATGCTGTCCTTAGAGTTTTGTGACAACTGGGAGACGGAGTCTTTGTTTGCTGTGGTACAGATCAACTTTGTGTGATCCTGAGCACGTAGCCCAGCTCAGCAGATGCTCCAAGTACAGCTCCAGTCAGCAGTCATGAAGATTTACGTTCCAAACTCACAGGAGCAGGTGCCCCTGTTGTTTTCTTGGAGCCTTTTAGACATTAGGTGCAGATTGGAGCTACTTGGTCCTGAAAATAATTCCCTTGCAGCTGGGGTGAGTGGTGCTGAATCCAGCAGGAACGTTTTCCTGGCTTTGCAGCTGTGCCAGGGAGAGATGTTCCAGGGAGAGATGTTCCTGGGGAGATTCCTGTCCTGCAGGTTGGGCTTGTGGCAGTGTCCACATTGAGACAGGAGTTTATTGCTCATATGGTTCAGAGTGCCTGTGTGAGGAGAGGGCTGCTGCCCATTTTTTTGTGGATTATAAGTTTTCCCAGTCCTTTGTGATCAGAAAGTGAGCTTTAATCCTTTGGGATAGCCCATACACTCCCTTCCCTGCAGATCCTTTAACTCAAAGGGTTCACTCAAGCACAAGGTAGCAAACCACTGTGGGTGACTCAGCTGAGGCTCTGCTCTCTGCACAGATCTCCTGATTTTCACGAGGAAATCAAGATTAAGCTTCCAGCCACTTTGACAGACCACCACCACCTGCTTTTTACTTTCTACCACGTCAGTTGCCAGCAAAAACAAAACACACCCCTGGAGACTCCAGTCGGCTACACCGTGAGTGTCTTTCCATCCTTGCATTTTTCAGCACAGGATTCATTCAAATGCACTCGCTGGCTCTTTGTTTAGCATCCCTGTGAACTCACATCCCGTTGCAGACCTTGGGAAATTGGCAAAAGCTCAAAGAAAGCCTGAAGAAATGTGTGTGTTGTTGTTTTCTTCTCTTTGCAGTGGATCCCCATGCTGCAGAATGGCCGGTTAAAGACGGGTCAGTTCTGTCTCCCTGTGTCCCTGGAAAAGCCACCACAGGCTTATTCAGTGCTTTCTCCAGAGGTGAGCTGAGCCTGCCTGCTGAAAACCAGCAGAATACATGTGAGAAAAAATGAGAGGATGTATGTGTACACATCTCTGTGTGTGCATTTATTTATTTCTTAAAAACTGTTAAATTTAGACAGAGTTTTAGTGTTTGTGTGCAGCTATGTGTGTGTGATCTGACCAAAATGAATGAATTTGTAATTAGCAGAGCCTAAGTTCTGCTCTCTGTCACATCCTCTCTCATTCTTCCTCAACCTGCAGGTTCCTCTCCCTGGGATGAAGTGGGTGGACAACCACAAAGGGGTTTTCAATGTGGAAGTTGTTGCTGTGTCATCCCTCCACACTCAGGTGGGTGTCAAGAGCAGTCACTGGAATAAAATAATCTTCTGACAGTTGAAACACTGTCAGAGTTGATGCTGTGAAGGGTGTAACAATCCCTTGTAGTGAAATTACAATCTCATTTTCAGTTCTGAGCCAGCACACCTGTTTTTCCACATTCTGCTGTGAGTATATTTGAGAAGTTCTGCTTAAAAAGATGAGTGGTTTGGCCTTAATTCACAGGGGGGTGAATGGCCAACAGTGCTGTCAGCCTGTTGTGTTTGATACAACAGCTCTGACACAGCCCAGGCAAATAATGTTTTCTTGTTCTTGTTTTCTTTTTCTTGTTTTCTTGTTTTTTTGTTCTTGTTTTCTTGTTCTTCTCTTTCCCCTCCTCCTCTTTTGCTTCCTCCCTGTATTTTCCCTCTGTCTGCCTTTGATCTGAAAATAAAGATGACACTCATTTTGTTTAATCATTTCAGCTTTTGTTTTATTAATTCCCACTGTGTCATTTTGATGGGGTGTGTGTATTTGTGCTGTAAGTAGTAATGTGATTTTTGTCTGGTTTGTCTAAGAATACACAGTCTGTGGGTCTTCTAGTTTTGCCTTGGTAACTTTGAAAGTAGAATTAGAATTAAATATGGACAGATCTCTCAAAGATGTTCAGTTTCTGTTAATTTTGTGAGATTAAATGGCCAGATAGAAAAATGAGGGTGAGAACCCATCCATGAGACACAAATCCATAGAAAATGAAGATATTTTGGGGATTCTTGCTGATTATTGGCTTTTTGCTTGTTGTAGGACCCTTACCTTGACAAGTTCTTTGCACTTGTCCATGCTCTGGATGAGCACATGTTCCCTGTGCGAATAGGAGACATGAGAATTATGGAGAACAACTTGGAAAATGAACTGAAGAGCAGCATTTCAGCTTTAAATTCCTCTCAACTGGAGCCGGTAGTGCGATTTCTTCATCTCCTGCTTGACAAACTGATCCTTCTGGTAGTAAGACCTCCTGTCATTGCAGGCCAAATAGGTATTTTATTTAAGTTTTATAGAGAATTACATAGCTGAAAGTTTGACACTTCCAATTTTATCATATTTATGTAGAAGTAAAAAAGTCCATTTTTATGCTGTATTTTAGTGCCACTAATATACCAAGTGTCTCCCAAATAAAACATGCTGGCATCCAGATCTGGGGTGATATACACAGGAGCAATATTTAATATTTAATGGAAGGCTTCTAAGAAGAACTGGGAATTTGGTGTCCAAATTGAGCCACGAGAAAAGGAATCTGATTTTCCTGAATGTTCAGCATGTTATTAGCACTGGAGCTTGTTGAGGTGTCTCCATCCTGACAGAAAGTAGGGGTTTCAACCTTACTGGTCACCTTGGAAAATCTGGAAGTAGGAAAATACAGATGCTGCATGTTCCTGTTGTGGATCTGATACTGCCAGCATGAATAATCCCTTCTTTTGCTCCCTGTGAAGGGCTAAGCTCTGGCAGTACAAAAAAACTCAAGTTTAAGTCAGGATTAGATCCTTAATATTTAAAATAGCAGTTTTTGCTGGTTTTTTTTAATAGGAAACCTGAGTTTGGACATGGTGGAATATAAGGATCTAAGACTGCTTCAAAAATATTTTTGAAAGTATTTTCTTAGTTGTATAAATTATTTATTTAAACTTTATGGGAAAGAATTTAGCTGCATTTTTATTTTATATTTTAATGTTCTTTCACTCTTTGAGTGTTCTGTATTGGTTTAGTTGGTTTGTATGGAATATTATGGACATTAGTGACTGGATTTATTTAAAATAAGATTTTCATTCTCTAGCTACTATCTTCTTCATCCTTAATTTTTCTAGAATATCTCCTTCAGTCTGTGTGTAGTTTTTTGTGCTCATTTTCAGAGCAGGTTTTTTCCCTCAACAGAATGAAATTGTTCATTTGATACAGTTTGTATTTTGGCTAAGACTTAAATAGAGGAAATAATTAACTGAGAAAAGCATGATAAATATCCAAAGGGTATTATTCATCAATTAAACAAGGACTTGCTCTTGTTACCATTGCACTTGATGACCACAGTTGGGCTGGTTCCAGAAACGGAGCCTAAATGAATTAAATTTATTATTAATAAAAGTGGCAGCTGATCACTGGACCAGCTGACCTGCTCTCAGGCTGGTTCAAACACCAGGCTCAGCTTGGGATGAGAAATGCTGCTAGGCTCTGAGAAGCTCCACCATTTACCCTGTAGCAGGTGGATGAACAGCACATTTAGGATTTCCCCTGGTCCTGCTGCAGTCTAAACCAAACTCGTCCCTTTTTGCTTTCAGTGAACCTGGGCCAAGCATCTTTTGAGGCGATGGCATCGATCATAAACAGACTTCACAAGAACCTGGATGGCAACCAGGACCAGCATGGCAGGAACAGCCTGCTTGCTTCCTATATTTATTATGTTTTTCGCCTGCCCAACACCTACCCCAACTCACCATCACCAGGTAGCTCTTCTGTTTTTCATTTTATTTCAAGTTGGGTAAATGAAAGCAGAACCACTTGCTGGCAGGTGCTTCTGAGTACCAACTGTGTGGCTGCTTCCCTGCAGGGCTGTTATTAATTTGCCAGTGTAACCACTTAAAAGATGAGTTTAATTACTGTTAGTTGTGTCAGATTCAATTATTTGATTATTTTAAATAAGTGTCACTGCTGAAGGATCGTGAATTATGGGGAAAAAATGGATTTTAGGGTTTTTTCTATGAGACAGCTGTGATGCACTCCTGGACTGTCATGTTTCCCAGTCTCCTTCACAAGAACTTTTATACTTTAATCCATTTCCAGCAGAAAGTTTAAACACTGGCTGGATAGAATAGATATCCAAAGGGTATTATCCATCAATTAAACAAAGACTTGCAGTTGATGACAGAAGTTAGGCTGATTCCAGAAACAGAGCCTAAATTCATTGAATATATTATTTATATAATATTTTTACATATTTTAATGCATGTGTATATATATACACATATGTACATACATACATATATATATATACATATGTATATATAACATGTTTTTATTTTTATGTATACATATAAAATATAGACATATTTAAAGCCGGAGTGCAAAATACTAGAAACCACATGTCTGGGTGCAGGAGAGAAATAAATTAGTGCCAGCTGAGAGTGAGGGATGGGAAAGAGATGGTGTGAGTGACAGCCATGGAAAACCAGCTTTTGGAAGGAACATCCATGCACAGAGTGGGGAAGCTCTGAGAGCTGTTGGGAAGGTTTTGTACCTAAAACTGTGCCCACCTTGAGTGTGAGATCTGGAAAACATCCTGTTAGCTAAAGACAAGCCCGCAGGGAGCCTTGTGCTTCCCTGTGGATAACACAGCTTTTTGTTCCCGTGCTGGAGTGACTGGGCAGGCCTGGGTGTCCTGAGGGGCTCTGGGTGATGGAGGATGGCCAGAGTGACCAGGCAGGTGAAGCCTGGGTGTCCTGAGGGGCTCTCGGTGATGGATGGCCAGGCAGGGCTGGTTGTCCTGAGGGTGGGGAATGGCCAGACTGACCGGGCAGGGCTGGCTGTCCTGAGGGGCTCTGGGTGATAAAGGATGGCCAGAGTGACTGGGCAGGGCTGGCTGTCCTGAGGGTGAGGGGTGGCTGGACTGACCGGGCAGGAGAGGCCTGGGTGTCCTGAAGGGCTCTGGGTGATGGAGGATGGCCAGAGTGACCAGGACCAGGTTGTCCTGAGGGGATGGCTGGACTGACTGGGCAGGGCTGGCTCGCCTGGGGGGGTCTGACTGAGGGGTGACCACACTGACCGGGCAGGACTGGGTGTCCTGAGGGTGAGGGATGGCCACACTGACCCACAGCAATGGCCAGGTCGGCCGTGCGCCCCGCCAGCCTCAACCTGAACCGCTCGCGCAGCCTCAGCAACAGCAACCCCGACATCTCCGGCACCCCCACCTCGCCCGACGACGAGGTGCGCTCCATCATCGGCACCAAGGTACGTCTGTCCTGCCCTTCCTGCCCTGCCAGGGACCCCTCAGAGCCCCAGCACCTCCCGGTCCTTGCTGAGTACCAGGGAAGGGCTTGGGGGTTGTCCCAGCCCCTCCTCAGCCCTTTCCTGGCTGTTGCTGGTGGCACCACAGGAGCACCACTCCTTGGAAATGTCTCTGACTTTTGGAGCCATCCTGGAGTGCTGCTTCCACAAGTGTGGGGGCTGAGGGCAGGAGTTCTTCTGGATTTGTCTCCTCCTCACTTTTTGCACGGCCAGCAGCCAAATCCTGAACCTAGCTCTATTGTGTCTCCCCAAACCTTGCACCCTCTTACCCCACTCTTCCCTCCCAACCCCAAACTCCCTCCTTTCCTCTGCATTCAGCTGCTCAGGTTTCTCTACTCCTCGTGTCCAGAGCGGGTGTCTTGCACACAGCAGGAACATTCCTGCTCCCTGCGTGGCCCAGAGAGGATTTGGGATGCCTGGTGAGAGGCAGAGTCTGGCCAGCTGAGCACAGGGGCACTGACTCCCACATGACTGCCCAGCCCAGAAAGTGACATTCCAGTGTAGGTGCAGAGCATCCAGCATGGTTGTGCTCTGGCTCTTGAGGAAAGAGTAAATTCAGTAAATTTCAGTAAATCCATCTCCTCTGCTGACTTCTAACTGCACAGAACCACCACAGTCCCAATCTGAGCCCTTCATTTTATGCCTAAAATAGGTGGGATGAGCCAGGACAAAGCAGTGTTGGTAATTCCCTCCCTTGAGAGGGGTGCCCGAGCTGCTTTGGGGTTTCCTCTTTTCTTTATTTAAAATATTCTTCAAACTGTGATAACTTCATCGGGTTGAGACTCTTTCCCACCATGACCTTTCACTCTTCCAGCACAGGTGAATTCCTGAGCCCTTTCAGGGAGGCTGATTCATTTCCTTTTGAAGTTTAGGGAGCAAGGTTGTTACCACAGCCACCACCCTGACCAGATAGGCTTGATATGGCTGATGCTGGGTTTTATAAGAGCAAGAAAAACACAATTTGAGGAAGAGGTTCCAATTTTAAATGAATAGCAACATCATTTGCTGACCAAATAAGAGGCTGAAGAATTGTGGGTAGGCAAATAATTATTTCTTACATCAAAGTCTGGACTTAGAAGTCTTGAAATATTTTAAAGACCACTTCAGTATCTTGCTAATTAAACAAGCCTGACCTTTTGTGAAATGCCACAGGCACTGATGTGCATATGGAATTTACCCAGGCTATCAGAAGTTTAACGTGTGCTGGCTTGGTGAATAATGTCACAGTACAAAATGAAGAGAGATTTTCTTCCAGAGGTGTACTCCAGGCGTTAAAGGAAAACCTGTTCCGTGGATAATTGTTGAGGGAAAAGTTTCCTTTAGGGAAGTCTGAGCATCAGGAATTAACCTCAACCTGGCTATATACAGACTTTTGGTTGAGTATAATTATTTCTGTTTCTTAATATCAGTAGACAAAAATAATACACTTCTTGAGATGCTGACACGAGTAAAAGGCTGCAAAAATCCCTGTTGTTTCTCCAAGTAATGGCTTAAGGAATATTCCCAGATAGATTCTAATTTGAGGTTCCCAATCACAGGACGTTTTCTGCCTTAAAACAACTCAGATTTTGTTGTTTGAGGGAGGTCTTCAAAGTCCAGTCTTGTGTTATTTTTTTATTCTAATGTAAGGTATTTGGAGGTGTGGTATAAATGCTTTAAGTCTCCCTTGTCACCTTCTTACTTCATTTTGAAAACTCTTTACAGGATATGGAAGATTTCTGTTTATTGTCACAGTAGAGGAGGTCTTAGGTCTGTCACTTGTTTTGCCATCATTTGTGAATTGAAGCCATGTAAATTTTATTCCCTACTAGAGAAAATTTATTAAATGTCTAAAAAGACATATTTAAAGTGATCCTGCAATGCTGGAGATGTGTTGGGAAAAACCCAGAAAACATTGTGGGGTTTCATTGCTCTGCCAGTGGATTTTCACAGATGGGGGTTATGTTCCTGCACAGATCCAGCTGCAGGTTAAACCCCAGGGGCAGCACAGAATTTAACAACAGCTTTGTGAACTTTGGAGTGACTCTGCCAAGCAATAAGAAGCTCTCGTACTCTTTTGTTTTCTGAAGAGGAAAGAACCCTTCCCTTTCCAGATTGTTACAAAATGATTTTTGCTTTTGCAAACACAGTGTGTGTTTAATTGTTATCCTCAGAACCAGAATGACAAGATTAGGAAACCCTGAGAGAGAAATGTGAGGGGGATAAAGGCATTTTCAAAATTAGTCCTGATTTTACAAAACAAGAGCTTAGTTCAGCATTCTGCAAAGCCCTTTCGACTTTAAATCACTGTGAGCAAAATAAAGCATGTTTATGGGGCTGAGCAGGGCACAGGGCTTTGATTTATTCCTGCCAAAAAGTAATTGAGATTAAAACACTCTCCTTATGTGTTCAGTATTTTTTTTATTGGACATCTTAAGCAAAATTACAGCACTGCTGAGCTCTGCCTGGAGGAGCTCAGTGGATTAATGGTTTGAATCCCAGGTTACAGCTCTCACGCCAGGTTCAACCTTGAGGTGGATTTTAGTTTGCTGGGAGAAATAGATGGTTTGGCTTGGTGGACTTTGCAGCTGATGCTGATCATGGGGATGAAATGGGCTGCACCTTTGCTTTGTGTATTGGGAAAAAGCCCTAAGTTGGCACAGAAATGGGGATGGAAGGTCTCATTCAGGTGAGAGTTGTCAAAATCTATGTGTGGTATTTATAAGGACTTGTGTCTGTCAGAGCTCCTTCCTGGGACCCAGGGAAATCCACTCCATCCCCTGAATGTTCCTGATTTGGGAGCAGCCTGGGTGACAGCACAAGTTTGAATTTTTCCTTCTTGAGTGTCTCAAGGAGAAGAGAGCAGACAGAGGAAGGATCCACAGTGATTTTGCCAGAGTGATCCATTGCAGTAGGATTTGGAGTACAGGCTAGACTGAGCTTTTGAAAAGCAGGATGGTTTTTCAGATGTTTTGCTTGGAAAACAGGTTGGTTCCAGAAAAGGTATGTGCTCTTTCCTCCCTTTGCCACAGTGCCCAGGGGAAATGCCCGAGTGTCCATGTGAAATCCTGTCCACAGGTTATTCTGCCAGCAGTGCTGGACTTTTTTTCCATAGGCAGGGAACCCTGTGAGGATTGACAGTCAGCCTCTTCAGTTTCTCAGCATTTCTGTAAGAATTGTAGAGCTTATGAACTCCGGGCTACCCTGAAGTGCTGGAAGCCTCAGAGAGCATCCTCACATCTCACCACCAGTTTTCCTCTGTCACAGTGTAAATCTCACCTGGCTCCACGGGAATGGGTTTAAACTAAGCAAAGGACAAGTAGGATTTTTCAGGAGGAGGAGAGTTTTTGAGTGTCAAGCATTCCAGACAGGACACACCAGACCAGAGCTGTTGACAGGATTAATGTTCTGTATGTATGTGAGATATAAAATTATCCTCTGGACTCGGTGTCTCGACAGGCACCTGAGAACTCAGGTTCTAAGTGCTGATGTGTTTGCAGTGTACCCACTTTGATTGCTTGTAAGGACTGAACTTTGGCTACTGTATGGCATGCAACATGTAATATTTCTTTCCTTTCCCAACTGCTTTCTGTCACATGCCCAGGGCTTGGACCGCTCCAATTCCTGGGTAAACACTGGTGGTCCAAAAGCAGCCCCATGGGGATCCAACCCCAGCCCAAGTGCAGAGTCAACACAGGTGGTGTCTTCGGTTGAGGTTTTTCTGCCTTTGTTTTCCCTGATGTTTTCCTGTAGAATATCTTCCTTTCAGTGCATTTTCCAGTTTTGGTGGTTTCTTTTTTTTTCTGTAATTGTTTATTTGAAAACTTTTCAGTTTGATTTTATGAATTCTCATCCCTCCCCCACCCACCACACTGCATGAAAAACCTCCGATCGCGTGAACGTGTCCCCTCCTTTCATTTCAGTGGTTGCTGGTCTGTGAAATGTAAATGCTGTGACTGCTTTTGTTTTCTTTTTTTTCTCTTTCTCTCACACTAGTTTCAGCTTCAGGTGGAGCACATTTCTAAGTGGGAACATTAATCACAGCTTCATAGTTTTGTCCATGTTTGCCATTCCTTTCGATGTCGTGAACCATTTTCCATTCTCATCAAGCATTTAGTACTCATCGTCCAGTAATCCTTCATGACTTGTTTGAGTGGAGTATTGTGAACCCAAATTGATTGCCACATATGAAATTCTCTCTTAAAACATGTCAATTTGAATGCTGGAGGCAGTGATTTGCCAGGGCCAATTGTCTTGTTCTGTGTTGCAAAGTATGAAAACTTTACAGCAGCTTCAGTCAGGAAGAGTTTATTTAGCCCCCGTTGCCTGCTGCTCTCCACTGCATGGATGCCTTGAACGTACCTCTCAACTGCTCCTCCTTCCCAGTTTATCAGCCTTCCCAAAATATTTAGTCCAAGTTCACTTGATCTTATGGCAAATCATTTCCATCAGAAGCAGAACTTGAGTGATTTTCCCCCTGCCCTTGGCAGCAGCAGCGTGGCCGTGGGTACATCCCCCCACGCTTGGCCTCTGGTAGATTGAGAGGTATGGGCTGAAATTCCAAATATGACCTGTGCATGTTGATAAAATGCAACGATGGAAAAGTTTCATGCTTTGCAGCATTGTCTGTGCATCAGAACATGCAGTTCTTTGAATAACCTGTATGTCTTAAAACCAATCAGAATTGCTGTCATTTAGACCCAATCTGTAAATGCCTAAGAGATTGAGAATGCTTAAAAAGCTGTAAAAACCCTACAGTTGGAAGAGTATTTTTGTAAACGTTCATTGTCCTTGAGCTGCAAAACCCATCCACGGCAAACTTTAATGTCCTGTCATCATTCATTCATCTCCACTCCGTAGGCTACGGATCGAAGTTGTAATCGTATGTCTTCGCACACTGAGACGTCAAGTTTCTTACAAACATTAACAGGACGATTACCAACCAAAAAGGTAGATTTCAGTGGAGACAATTGATATTGTGGGGCAGGGAGGTCAAGTCATTCTGAAAACGTGATGCAATTTATTCTTTTATTTATAGCCTGATTATTTTTTTTCCTCCCCGAGGTCATTATGAACTGCTGGTGCTTAACACCTCTGAATATCCAGGCTGTAGGGAATGTGAAGTATTTGGAGTTGAATTGGGAAGAATTAAATGATCAGGAGTTGCTTGTCTGATTTAATGGCCATAGTGTTTGGGGCCAGTTTATTACTGGCTTTCAAAAAATATGAATAGCACTGTCTAGACACGTAAATGATGCATTTTGTGTGCAAAATGAAAATGTGTTGGATGGCTCGGTGTGCTGAGCTCACTTATCCAGGTGTTAATCCAGAGAGACTCCAGAAAGGGAATGGGAATCACTTTGAAAGTGAACTCCCTTACAGGAAATGAGAACCTTGTAAACAATGTCAGAAAGGCAAAATGCCAGAGCTTTTGTGTAAAGAAAATGTGGCCACTGGCACTGTCAGTCTGTGGGTTGGTCTTTTCTGAGAAAAGAAATCCAAGAGCTGTTTGAGCCCCATGTTTCTTTCTTACTGCTTTAAGTCCTTTCTCACAGTAAATATACATCTTTGTACAAATCATTTTATATGTCCACTTTTTACTCCTTTTTCCTGCGAAAATCAGACCAGGCAGAAAGGTAGACTTTTTAAACTAAACTAATTTGAGCACCAACCTTTTTTTAAATTATTATTTCTTGGGGGTGGGCGGAAAATTCTTTTGACACTTGAGATTCAATCCTGGAGCGAGATGCTGTTGAACGTTTCTCACATCACATGTCATAACCTCATCCCTCATTGTTAGCTGGGGATTTCTTTATGGGATGCCACCACTGCTGTCATGTCCTCAGTTATTTAGTTTGCTTAACTCATTGTTTGCCATACTTGCCACGGACCGTGCTGCCATTTCTCATGGGGGCTGTGTTGGGAGCTGCTCTGGAGGCCTGGGCTGACTCTGGCTTTGACTCTGTAGCTTTTCCACGAGGAGCTGGCCCTGCAGTGGGTTGTGTGCAGCGGGAGCGTGCGCGAGGCGGCCCTGCAGCAGGCCTGGTTCTTCTTCGAGCTGATGGTGAGCAAACACCTCCCTGATGTCTCCCAGCCCCTGCTCTCAAGCAGAACCAGCGACAGCTGCAAGTGGCTCTGCTGTAATTTATATCCCCATAGGTGAAGAGCATGGTGCATCATCTGTATTTTGCTGACAAACTGGATGCGCCGAGGAAGAATCGTTTCCCGGAGCGCTTCATGGATGACGTGTCTGCACTGGTCAGCACAATCGCTGGTGATATAGTCTCCCGCTTCCAGAAGGTGATGGCAAACAATTACACTGAGCCCAGCTCAGCCACCAGCCCTCCTGCCTCTTGTTTGCTTGAAAACACACAGGGTTCTTCATCTGCTTTCTGGTTTTCTCTTCCTTCTCTCCAGGACACGGAGATGGTGGAGCGGCTCAACACCAGTCTCGCATTTTTCCTCAATGATTTGTTGTCCATCATGGACAGAGGATTTGTTTTTGCTCTTATTAAGACCTGCTACAAACAGGTGAATGCAGATAAACATTGTGGCTTAACTGAGCCGTGGCAGAGCCTGTTAGATTTCTCTGGACAGACAGCAAAACACGGACACAGAATTCCGCTGTTCAGGTCTTCTTAGAGCAGGGCCTTCTCAGAGGTGATTTAGGGTTTACGCCTCTCTAATTACACTCTTAACTGTTAATTAGGAGGCACTCCCTGGAGTGAATGGACAGGCAGCAGAGAGGGAGAATTATTCCCTCTGCTCACCATATTCAGAGTAATTGAATCAAAAATTAGTGGGAGGTTCTGTGAGGGAGCTCAGACTGTCGTGGTCTCTTAAGGACACGGTGACCCTGGATGATCATATTGATCACTGAGCTCCTCTTCCATCCTTTGGGGCATGCAGGGTGTCCTTCCCCACAAGGAGGGCAGCTCTTTTGCAGTGTGACAGGGAAATCACCCTGAACCACAAAGTTTTGTTTGACTACAAACATCCATTCTGACACTGTGTACAGAGGAGATAACAAGGGATCAGTGAGAAGTGGGACTAAGCTTAGACTCATTTTCCCTGTAGAGTCTAAAACATTCTCTGTAAGGGGCAGAAGAACAGCAAGAGCATTTAAGATTTTAAGCTGCCTGCTGTATATTACATCTATTATGTGTAATTGATTATATTTTTATATATAAAAGATATATGTATAAAAACCAACCTGCATCTTGGAGCTGTTAGTGCGTCACACAGTGGTTCTCATAACTCCCTGCTGAAATCAATGGGATGTGGGAATTACAGAAACAAAGAATGGTTTGGGTTGGAAAGGACCTTAAAGATCATCTTGTTCCAATCCCCCATTGGGTGAAGCCCACAGTTCTTCATTTGGTTATTTAAATAGTACTGGTGTATAGATCTTGTATTGAGAGACATGTCTGGGATGTGTGTGGCTCCTGCACATTCACAGAACTGAATTTCTGGCACAAAAAAAAGTGCTGTGGACGTGGGTGTGACCATTTAATGGCACCAAGCTCTCCAGTTCTTGCTTTGGGAGTGATTTTGGGGAGCAGAGATGGGCAGGGGGGCTCACCTTGCAGTTACACTCTCTTTTGGTGCTGACTGCAGTGCTGTGGGCTGGATTTTCCAGGTGTCTGCAAAGGTGTATTCCTTAACAAATCCAAGCAACCTGGCCTCTCTGAAGCTGGACTTCCTGCGCATCATTTGCAGCCACGAGCACTATGTCACCTTGAATTTACCCTGCAGCTTGCTCACACCACCTGCATCTCCATCACCATCCGTGTCTTCAGCCACTTCCCAGGTACTGAGAAATTTGGGAAATACAAGTTGAGCTCGGAGCTGAAAATTAAATCCTCTGAGGGCAGTTGTATCACTGTACCTTCAGTCCCTCTCGCTAGTATTTTTTGAAGTGTTTAGTTAGAAATCAGTTTTTCCTGCCACAGAGGTTCTGATTTCTTTTGAGCTTTTATTATTGAGGAAAGAGTGCCCGTATCCCTCTCCTGGTAGTGACCACACACTGTCCTTAGGGACCTGGTCCCCTCTTGTATTGGACAGACACAAATAAGCTGTAAAGGAAAATACTTTGTCCAGTGTTACCCTATTCTGGCAACACAAGTGACTTCTGAGTTCCTGCAGCTTAGTCCTGGCCTGCTCAGAAAAGTAATTTGAACTAGTGTGTCATTCAAGTGGATTAATTAGTTCCAAAATCACATAAACTAAATCAAATTAAAGCTTTCTTCAGCTTGGATAAGAGCATCCTTGAGTTAAAAGTTTAACCAATCCACTTTTAAAGGTTATTTGGTTTAACTTTCCTAACAGGGGAAGACAGTAACAACAAACAGAATTAATGGAAGTGTTATTGAGCTGGGATGGAATTTAAGTGTAGATGTGCCTTGATCCAAACGAAAAAGGCATGAGGTTGTCTTTAATTCTGAAAACTGCTTTTTATGTATTTCCTAAGCTTTGACTCTGTTCATGATGCAGCTTCTGAAACTTGATTTTTTTCAGAGTTCTGGGTTCTCCACAAATGTCCAAGACCAGAAGATTGCAAATATGTTTGAGTTGTCTGTGCCTTTCCGCCAGCAGCATTACCTGGCCGGGCTGGTGCTCACAGAACTGGCTGTCATTCTAGATCCTGATGCAGAAGGGTAAATCTTCACAAAGTTTTGTTTTTCAAAGAGCCTTTTGTAATTCCAGGCAAATGGTGGATGCAAAGAAAGTCCTGGCATGGCCAGAATTTACATGAATTAGTAAGCTATGATAAGGAAACAGTGATTTAAGAATCTTCTTTCTTCTTGCCCCTTCTGTTTCTTCCTTATCCCAGACTCTGTAAACCTGATTTCAGTCTCATTTTTCCAGCTGAGAAGAGGTTCCTGCTGGAGCCCCCAGATGCCACAGGGGCACTGCTGGAGCTCTGAAAGGAAAATAGCTTTTCTCAAATGTAACAGGAAAATAATTTCCAACATTTAGGAAGCCTCTCTTGCTGGTGGTTTTAAATGTTACAATATATTTTGCCTGTGGGTCTCCCAGCTCTTTTTAACTGTAAATTATGCATTGATGAGGCCTCTGTGGGTTACACAAATAGACAAATAGAGTCAAGCATGCAGAGTTTGTCAGTGACTCGCCTGGCTTGTGCAGCAAATAATTTTCTGCTCTGGTCCTGACATCCAGTCTGTTCCTTGTGTTATTTAGGGCTGTTTTCTGCCTTGCCTCTTTAAAATGGGTTGCAATGGAAATTATTGATTGCTTCCACAGTCCTGAGTTCCCTCACAGACATTTTTCTCAAGGTGGACTCAGAAATATCAGTCGAGTCGACAAATGCTGATGATTCATGGTTAATTCTACCCCTTTGCCAAGAGGTCTCTGGAGTTAAACATTCATTCTGTTTCCTCTTGGAGAAGAAAGTGATGCCATAAATGGAATATTTTCCTGTATATATACATAATACACTGCAGTCCCATTTGTTTGGCCTGAAATGGAAAAAGCAGCAAATCTTTACCAATATGTGCTGTCTGCAGAAATTCTTTTTGTGCCAGAGGAGCATCCTGCTCACTGGTTAGAAATCAGGCCCTGTCTCTGAGTGTGTCTGTCCTTGTTCTTCACAAACTTTCTGTTCTCTACCTGCATACCAAGCCCTTAAGCCTGGCCCAGGATGGTAATCTCTGCACAGAGGAGCTTGCTGGTGTCCCCTGGGGAGACAACTCCTCTCTCAAACCTTGTCAAGCCAGAATAAGGCCCCTGGTACCAGTTCTGGAGATGCATTTTGATCCAAGCTCCTGAATTTGGGGCAGATGTATACCTGTAAAACATTTACTTTTTACTGTTTTTCAGAAAAAAAAAGGAGTTTCAGTTTTGTTGACTTCTCAGGTTCAAACCCTCCGCATTTCTCCTTGTAGATCTATCAGATAAAGTATACCAAGTGTGTTCAGATCTGCTCTTCCCTTGCTGTGAAGACTTTTAACAGTCATACATGATCACCAGAAGAGAGTTCACACTTGTCTTCCATAAAATATTGTGGCCACCACTGGGGAGAAAGCTGAGAATTGTTCCCAGTTCATTATCCTGCAGCAGGAGTGGAAAGGGCTGTTCATCTAGTTGCTTATTGTGTCAGAGACCTGCTTTAGGCCTTGATAGGTGATCCAGAGCCTTAAATGTGTTCTGTCCTCGCTCTTTTGCTCCATTAGCAGGATATGTTTAGTTTTAGGTCATTTTATAGGAACTCTTTGGATTGAGTTGGACAGAAAAGGAGTCAGCTCCCTGGTGCCTGGAGGTGTGTGTTGGATGCATCCCTCAGTGTGACAGGGTACAGAGTGACAGAGTACAGAGCAGCCCTGCAGAGCACCTGCAGCCTGAAAAACGGGACAAACAAAGTGTACAGGGGAAGGGATCCAGCTGAACGTGACAGTCCCAGCAGCTGGGCCCTGCACAGTTGTCTCTGCAAACACTGCAGGGGTGCTTTGGCCATCACACACAATGCCCACGCTGCCCATCTTGGCTGAGGGTGCAGGCCAGAAGTGAGAAAATCAGAACTGAGCCCTCAGAGTTCAGTGCCAGAGTCGGTTTTGCAAAAGTGTGGGTGTGTGTTGACAGAAATCCAGGCCAGGGCTGAGATAAGGGAGGGGAGGGAGGCGAGATCGATTCGCTGCCTTATCAGGCAGGAAGAGCAGGGGGCTGCATTTCTTCCTCTCCTTCAGGGATTGATCCACCACAGCGCCCACCCAGCTCTGGGAAAGTGACAAAGAAATCTGAGGATCCCTTGGTTAGAATTACACAGCCTTGCTTGGATGTTTTCCCCATCTGCAGTTTTATGGCCTGTGGAATAGTTTCCCTTGAATTTTTAAAAACACGATTTAGGTGCCACTCCTTCAAAATAATACAAAGACTTTTCTTTATCCTTAATCTGAAGGAACCAGTCACTTAAATAAGCATTTCCTTCCTAGTTGTTAAGGCTCTGACTAATTACACAAGAAAGCAATTGTAGGATCTCATTATGGCTTGATTAAAAGCCACAGGGAGGACCTGCAGCTCCAGTAGCTGATGTCCTCCCAAGCTGTACTGCTGCCTTATAGTCAACTTCAAACCCCCAAAAATCCAGTCAAAGCCTCTTTTTTTAACCAGAACTCACCTCTACTTTTCAGGTAAAATGGATACTGCCTGAAATTCAGCACTTGTTTTAATACCTCAGGTCTGAACATTGCAGCTTATGTTTTGCTACTGCCTAATGTCTGAGCTTCCTTGGCTGCTTCATGCATGGGGTAAAGTGTCTTCTTGGCTGGTTTGCCTACAGAAGCAAATAGCTGCAGAGAGAACCTGCTATTTGCTCTGGGAGAGTTTTGCCTCTGCGTGGTGGCTGAGGGGATTGGAAGGAGCAGAGTCCTTTAGAGATTCAGGGGAGATTTTGTGTTTTCAAGGAGGGTCACATGTGGTGCTGTACAGAAGGGCTCTGCCAGTGTTTGCATCTGAATAATGACAGAAGCCATTTTGGCTATTTTTCCTTCTATCCCTTCATGTCTTTGCCACTTTTTATTCTGAATTTTGGATCTGCAGTCTCCTGTTTTGGTTCAGTAATTGCATGGGGCAGGGTGGGAGGCTGAAGCAGAAACTTCCTGATCATTTGATTAAAGCAATGTTCTGGTTTAGGAGGGTTTATCTCTCTGTAAATGGTGTTAAAAAGAAACAAAAAAAGAACACAATGAATAGTTTTACTGAACCCACTGTCCTCTCAAGTTTCTCTCCCTGTTTTCCATATTCTCTAAGTTTTTCTAAGAGATTTTATTAGATTCAATGCTTCAGCATAGCAGTGGCTGGGACTTCAGGGGTTTTTAATGGAATATATGAGAGTGTTCACATTATACTGGGTGTGCATTCCATGAGATATTTTTGCCCATTTTACAAGGCACAGTGAAAAATCAGCCAACCATCTGTAAAATCCATGGGACATCAAAAAACCCATGCAGCAGCAGTTCGCGTGAAGTTAAAAATAAAAAACGGGATTTTTTTTTTTCCTTTTTGAAGCCCCTTAGTTACAAAAGAGAGTTTGCTTTGAAGATATTAACTAATGTGCATGACCCAACTGTCTTTTAACAGATTATTTGGATTGCATAAGAAGGTCATCAACATGGTACACAACCTGCTGTCCAGCCACGACTCGGACCCGCGGTACGCTGACCCCCAGGTAAAGGCCCGGGTGGCAATGCTGTATCTACCTCTGATTGGCGTGATCATGGAAACTGTGCCTCAGCTCTATGACTTCACAGGTATTTGATATTCTCTGCCTTGGCTGTCTGCTCGCCACACTTGGGTGTTTGGGTTCTGAAATTGAGTTATGAATGCCTTTGCTGTCGGATGAAGTTGTTTCTGAATTGTGATTTGATATTTTTTCGTGTTTGTTTTCACTTGTAAAATGTGCCTTCAGTTCCTGTTAGCACTCAAAAGTTGCATTTGCCCACTTATTGGCATGAAATTAAAAAAAAAAAGCAGTGCATTTTAGTTTACATCCCACTGGCTGATGTAAATGCAGAGCCAGCTTCCGTCTGTCTCTGACCTGCTTAAAAAGTCACCCCTCACACTGTACCAGAGCTCCTAAATCCAAAGGATAAGCAGAGTTCCTAAATCCAAAGGATAAGCAGAGTTCCTAAATCCAAAGGATAAGCAGAGTTCCTAAATCCAAAGGATAAGCAGAGTTCCTAATTCCAAAGGATCAGCAGAGTTCCTCTTCCTGCTATCATGTGCTCCATCAGGAGTTCATTTTCAGGGTGCTTTGCAAAGTGTCCCAAAGAGCAGCAGAAGTTATTTCCAATCAGGGCAGGGAGTCCAGTCAGGAATAGTTTGGAATTTAGAGTTCTCGTCTACATCCTCTGAGTTTCATGACACAATAAAGCTGCAAGAAGGGATTTGGAGTATTCAAAGGGAAAAAGGTCTGTTGTTAGGAGGGTTTCAGGTACTGAGGTTGTGTAGGTTGAATTTGGGAATTGCTTTCTTCGCTTTCATGCCCTCAAATCATTGTCCTGTTCTTTGCAGGACCCCTGGAGTGGGATGATTTTCAGTTTTCATTCCCAGTTCAGTGGGACTAGCACTGTGGTTGGAGTCTGGGGGGTGAAGCCTTGATTTGGGGCTTGACTAAAGTCCTGTATTTCTCTGCAGAGAGCCACAACCAGCGGGGGAGGCCGAGCTGTGTTGCCGTGGACGATTACGAGAGTGAGGGTGGCAGCATGATCAGCCAGACAGTGGCCATGGCCATTGCAGGGACTTCTGTCCCCCAGCTCACCAGGCCCAGCAGTTTCCTACTCCCTTCTTCGGTACAAGTCTATCTCTCCTCATTTCCTGACCCTCAGTCTGTGTCAACCAGCAAATATTCAGCAGGTTCTGTGGGGACCCGCATCAGTTTGTAGCTGGGTGTGCAGAGGGGCAACAAGGGGGACAAAGCACGTTTGCATGTTGCTGTGTGTGTTTCAGAGGGGCGTAAGAAAATGCCAGGGAGGGATAGGAATCAACAAACCTCAGAAAGCAGAAGAGTTCTCTTTCCTGAAAAAGAAACAATCTTATAAAAGCTCTGTGAAGTGCAGTAGTTACTATGAGCTTTAAGCTGTAAGACCAGATTCTACCCCAGGTAAATCCCACCTAGCTGAAGACAAGGGGGGCCATTTTCCCTGTTCTCTGCACAGAGAAGGAATCCTGATTCTGGCAGCAGGCAGACCCTCCCTCTTCTGACTTGCCATTACTCCAGGACCACAACCCCACCCCATTTTGCTGGTGGGATTTAGGTGCACTCTCAGTGAGACATTGATAGATGCATGAGATAACATGCAGCCCCTCTGCCTAACCCCTGAGCTGCTGAGGTTATTACAGTTATCTCAATGGCAAAACCTCATTCTGTGGTGATTGGGTTGTGAAGCCCTGTCCTGACCTGTGTTTCAGAGTGGCAGGCAGCACTCCACCTTCTCCACAGAGTCCAGCCGCAGCCTCCTCATCTGCCTGCTGTGGGTGCTGAAGAACGCGGACGAGAGCGTCCTGCAGAAGTGGTTCACTGACCTGTCAGTGCTGCAGCTCAACCGCCTGCTGGACCTGCTCTACCTCTGTGTCTCCTGCTTTGAGTACAAGGTACTGCCAAGCTGGAACCCCCTGGAGTCCCTCCTGGGCCCTGCCGAGGACCTTTACGCTCCCACCCTTTACACGACTGCAGAAAGGCATTTCCTGCTCTCTCCAAAGTATTTCCTGTATTCACAATCCCAAGGCCAGGCTTTTCCCATGTTTACTTCCCAGCCATGTGAGTGTCTGTGCCTTGTTCCACCTCTCAAGCAGTTTGTGCTGCTTGCCCCTCATCTGGGAACTGCTGCAGTGCCACTTTGAAAAGAGAGTTTTCTGTAGCAATGCTGGAACTTGAGTGTTTTATCTACCTACCAACTTAATCTGTATTCCTTTCTTTCTGCATGTCTTTAGATATTTTCAGTTAACTCTTAGCAAATATCCCAAATTGAAACAATCTTCCCTCATGGTTTTGTTTGGAACTTGCAGGGCAAGAAAGTGTTTGAAAGAATGAACAGTCTGACATTTAAGAAGTCAAAAGACATGAGAGCCAAACTTGAAGAAGCAATTTTGGGCAGCATAGGGGCAAGGCAGGAAATGGTCCGAAGAAGCAGAGGACAGCTGGGTAAGTAAAGGAGTCCTCTGTGCCACCCGTTTTTTCCAAAAGCTGCTCCTCCCATCCCCAACAATTATTTGCACCCATCTGTGGTGTGGGATATAAGAGGCCCCTAGGAAAACTTTGCAGCATCCTTGCCTGGGTCTGCAAAATCTCTACACCTTTCCTAAATTGCAGGCACTTCATTTGCTACTTGATTGCCTTTTTTAGTGAGATCACATCTCATTTATGGGGTGTTCTTGCCTTAGTTTTTTCCAGTGTAGCATCTTCTAGAGTGTCCTGGGAAACAAACTGCCTGATCTTGCTCTGACAGCTCTGAAAATGCCTGGGCATTTCTGCTGACTTAAGGAGACTTAAAATAGCTGTAGTTGGGCTAACAGGCACCTTCTGATGATTCCTACTTTTTGTAAAACCCAGTAATTTTTATGAACACCCAAAATTCAAAGGGTGACCCAGGGGACAAGAATCAGAGCTGTGTTTTTGTCTCCTGCTCTGCCACATGAGCCTGTCCTTGTGGGCTGAGGTGGATGAGTAGTTTAGAGCCATAATTAAGGAATCACTTCAGAGCTGGGAACCTTTATTTTTTTCCTAATGTGGTCAGATTACTTTCATTACTTGAAATTCCCCTGCCCTCCCAGCAATGAGAATAAAAGATTGTGAGCTGGGAAAGGGGGGTCTTGGCACCACCTTGAGAACATTCCTGGGTGCCAGTCGAGGACAGCAGTGTTGGAATGCTGAGGGCTGGCACACTCATGCTCCATGTGCAGTCCAAGGAAAGGACTCCTCTCAGCAGTGAGTGTCTCAGCTGCCTCTCTGTGTCTCGTGCCACTCAGCAGTGACAGAATTAGGCTGTGTAAACATCCTGGGTGAGTGCCACAGAGCCTCCAGCTCTAGAAAATCATCTTTGTTGCCACCTGCCACTTGTGAGCAGATCTGGAGCTGCTGCTGGTGCAGCTGAAGTGAGCATCAGCTGAGTGCTGTTGTTTTGTGTTTCCCTGCAGAGAGGAGCCCTTCTGGGAGTGCCTTTGGAAGTCAAGAGAATCTGAGGTGGAGAAAGGATATGACTCACTGGCGGCAGAACACCGAGAAGCTTGACAAGTAACTCTGCCTTATCCTTCTGCTCTACCCCTGTGCCAGGCCTGTGAGAGCAGGGTCCCCCTCCCCACAGAAGGTCACTGCCAGCAGCCACTCAGCCCTTGTGCCAGCAGGTTTGAGCCCTCAGATGCATTGGCATATGGCTGGCATTGCAAAAAAAAAGCAAATAGCTTTTACTCCAACACTGCCCTCCCAACTCTTTGCCTTTCCGCTGTCCCTTGCTTCCTTAGACTTCCAAATCAGATTTAAAGAGATTTATATAATCCATTACTGTCTTAAAACCCTGCCCTAAGCTGTAATTTAGAGGGAAGATCCATTAAGAGTTTCCACAGATAGCATTTATATCTCATGTCATATTTCCTTTATTCCATAAAAGCATTCTGGAGTTCTCAAAGCTCGCTTTCCTTTCCTGTCCTAATCCATCACTTTGATTGTTTTTCCACATGTGCTGTGCTTTTAGAAGCCACAAACCAGCCAGGTACTGTAGCATTGGTGTGCAGTTCTTACAAATTGCTATTTTGTACATCTGCAGACTCAATCATCACAGCCTTGTTTGTGATGCTTGGCAGAACTTCTCAGTGTGTGTGTGCAACTGACTGGAATGAGCTCTTTTGGCTTATTACACCCATTTCCTTGAAAATTCCCTCTCTTGGTGTGGTCTAATCCAGAGGGCTCAGGAGTTGTGTTTGAGCTTTGCTGTGCACGTTTTCTGTCTCCTCAAATTGCAACCTGCAGTCTCCATCCTCCCAGCAAAAGAATTGTTCCTTATCCTAGGGAAGCAACCTCAGCCCAAGTGAAGCTCTGAAGAAACTGAGGAATGGGATCCTCAGAGCCCACATGGAGATCAGGCCAAATTTTATCCTTGCAGACATTGACTCTTCCTGGAGTAGAAAGCAATTTTTCACAGCCTTTACTTGCTTTGTCCCACACAGAAATGTAACTTCTCTTTATGACAAGTAGTGGCTTTTTGTCCGAGGCTCCAGTCCTGTTGTGTCATTGGGAAAGCCAAGTGACCAGGGTATTTCACCCTGCTGGTGAAGTGATGTAGATATAAATTCCAGAGTCACACCAGCTCAGAATTTGGCCTGAAAGACTCAGCAGTTCACTGCCAAACTGGGTCTGAGTCCTGTCCTTCCCAGAGGGACCTCAAGTACACATTTAACATCTGTGATGGTCAAAGGATGGTGTCTCGCCTCACAAATTGAGCTGCTTAGATAAAACTCTCTAGAGCTGCTTTCTAACCCCTGCTTGCTGTGACTGGCTCTGCTGTGTCGTGTGTGTGTAGGTAGAGCCTGGCCCTTTGAAACCCCTTAAACAAGACTTTTCACTCCAAGAGCTCTGCACCGCTGTCTTTTTATGCAGATGGTATTATTTTAATATGGGATCAGGTCCCAAAACTTCCTGTCCTGGAGACGTTGGGGGTGTGAGCCAGCTCCCAGAGGATGTGGAACGTGGCAGGGAAGGGCTGCTGCAGTACAGCTCCAGGAGCCAAAGCGTTTCTCCCTCTTTCTGTCTGTTTTTCTGGGATTTTGGTCACCCTCCTGCTGGGGTTTGGCCTGGCAGGAGTCTGTCAGAGATGGCACCTGTGGCAGGGCAGGCCGGGGTTGAGCTCTGAGTACAGCCCTGGATCTGTGCCCAGTGCAGCTGGTGCCACTGGAAGGGGCTGGTTGTGCTGAATTCCTGGAGCCACAGGTGTGAGTGGGTGTCTGGACTCTGCAAGGCTTTCCAGGAAAGCGAGTGCCTGGCATGGAACAGCAAAACCTTGTCCTTCAGCTGAGAGAGGAAGTTGTGCTTCAAGGATTAAACACAGTGTAGCTTGGAGAGATAAGATTGCAGCCTGGCAGGCTGCGGTGTGCTGCTCCCAGTGGGAGTGCAGGTTCCCAGCTCGTGTAGCACCACCGTGTGTCCACAGCATAAAGCCACATGTCCTGTTCCTGGTTGTGCTGTCGCATGCCTCACGATGCTGCTGAGCCAGTTTGGAATTGGACTGGGCTTCTAAACTGTTGTTGTGTTCCTGGGAGAGTAGTGAAGTGTCAGAGAGCAGTGTGAGCTCTCCCAGCATGATGAACGTGAAGCCTCTGTAAGTCTGTACTTGTAAAAAACTGAGTTTTCCTTCCTGTCCTCTCAGGGGGTGCATTGAAATATCTTTGTGGTGTTGTCCAGTGATAAATATACAAACTGTAACTGGGAGTTTCCTGCTAGTGAGAGAACATTTTTGACTGGAAAATATGTGGGTCTGTTCCTTAATCAGGAAGTAATTTTGCTTCTCTGTTTTCTCTGATCAGGTCAAGGGCAGAGATAGAACACGAAGCACTCATCGATGGGAATCTTGCAACAGAAGCCAACCTGATAATTTTGGATACTCTAGAGATAGTTGTACAGGTGAGGCTGATAAGAAAATGGAGATGCAATGGCTTTGCAGTCACCTGGCCAGGCAGCACTTTGTTAAACAAAACTGCCTCAGTGCTGGGAGAACTGTTCAGCTGCAGCAGGAAGGGGGTGACGCCTCTCCCAGATCCCAGCCTGGAACCATCTGGTTTTACATTGCAATACCTTCCTTCAGTCTCGAAATTGAGAATTTGAAGATTCTCCTTTCCTTGTAGTATAAGAAATAGTTATTCAGGAATGAACTGTAAAAATCCCCAAATCCTGCCCTATCCCAAATACTTCCTCCAGTTCTTCCCAAGCCTGCCACAAATCACTGGGTTCCAGGTCAGTCTCCTGGACCTGTACTCACTTTGTCCCCTCATTTCTGGACAGATGAACCTGGGCACAGACTGGGAGCAGGCAGCACCATGCTTCCCAAATCCACCTCTGATCTGCAGAGAGACCCAGGAATCCCAAGGATTGTACTTGTGCCTGAATAACCCAGCTAGAGCCCAGCTATGGGATTTTCTTCTAGCAGAACAATGTCCCTAAAAGTCAGAGCCTCACTGGGGACAAAGAATCCCCAATTCCACCTGCTTTATCCATGGTTCAGGTGTTCCTTACCTGGGGGTCGCCTCAGAACGGGGCTGTTTGGCAGGCCCAGCTAAGTGAGTAATTTCCCCATGCAAAGGGCTTTTGGTCAGAGCTATTTGCTCTCTTTCACATGGACAGGCACACAGGAGGTTCATTTTTCTCATGGAATCTTGGTTTCCCATTTTCTCGTGGAATCTTGGTTTCCATTTTTCTCATGGAATCTTGGTGTCCCATTTTTCTCATGGAGTCTTGGTTTCCTTTTTCCTCATGGAGTCTTGTTTTCCCTTTTCCTCATGGAGTCTTGGTTTCCCTTTTCCTCATGGAGTCTTGGTTTCCCTTTGCAGACCGTGTCCGTGACGGAGTCCAAGGAGAGCATCCTCGGCGGGGTGCTCAAGGTGCTGCTGCACAGCATGGCCTGCAACCAAAGTGCCCTTTACCTCCAGCACTGCTTTGCCACACAGAGAGCTTTGGTCTCAAAGGTGAATCCCCTGTGGGGACAGAAATCCACCCTGAGCAGCACTGAGGGAGGAAGGCACTGTTTCTTCCTTTGTATGGGGTCACTTCCCCAAGCAATTATTATTTTGGGCAGTATGAATTTTCAGGCAGCGTAGCCTGGCCTGGTTTTCATGGGCAGTACCTGCATTTCTGCATTTTGGGCTTGGCTGCACCAGAAAGTGCAGCTCACACCGTTTCTTCCTTTGTATGGGGTCACTTCCCCAAGCAATTATTATTTTGGGCAGTATGAATTTTCAGGCAGCATAGCCTGGCCTTGTTTTCATGGGCATTTCATTTCACTTGCATTTCTGCATTTTGGGATTGGCTGCCCCAAAAGGTGCAGCTCACACACCATGGATGGGATGTGAGTTCCTGCTGGCTGCCACTGAGTAGGAAGAGGCAGTGGGGAGCTCAAGGCACAGGTGGGGTTTAAGCTGGACAAATCTCACTTTAATTTGTTTCCCAGTTTCTGTAGGTGTGCGGGGAGAAGCTCAAAGTTTTAAGCCTGAGATTTTGGGAGTGATGTAAATCAGTGTGAGGGTGTAGATGTAGGAGCAAGCTGGAGGGGAAGGTAAAATGGGTTCCCTTCCAGTGCTGCCAGTTTTGCCTTACTGTAAAGTGATTGAAGGGAACATCATTCCCCTCAAAAGAGAGGGGTTGGGCTCCCTCTCATTGCAGTGCACCCTCACTGCTGCCTCTTTGTCTGGGTGCTCATTCCTGCCTGTCCAAGCACCGATTCCTCCCCTGCTGTTTTCCAGTTCCCTGAGCTGCTGTTTGAGGAGGAGACAGAGCAGTGTGCAGACTTGTGCCTGAGGCTCCTGAGGCACTGCAGCAGCAGCATTGGCCCCATCAGGTCCCACGCCAGTGCCTCCCTGTACCTCCTGATGAGGCAGAACTTCGAGATTGGCAACGTGAGTCCTGCTGCTCTCACTGGGTTATTGCAGATAACAGGGCTGGGGCTGCTGGCTGGGGTGCAGTCCCCCACAGAACTGGGGACACCCTGGTTCTGGGCCAGGGGCTGTGATTGACAGCAGAGATAATGGGGTTCCAGTTTTTAGGCTTGGCCAAACCAAAGCCAGCCGGGATCAAGGATGTTTCATGAGAGCATCATCCTGTTCAGGGTGTGTGAGGGGAGACCATGTGCAAACAGACAACATGAATATTTTTGCAGGAGAACCTTTATCTGGAGCTAAATAATCATCAGATGATGAAGTTTGGCAGCACCAGGTTTATTCTAATCACTGCTCTGAGACAGCCTTTCTTGCAAAACTTCAGTTTTATTTTCTCTGTCGGGTCAGGGGGAGGGTGCCATGACCAAAGCACTGTCTCCACGCTGCTGAAATACCATAACAACATCTCTGTTGCAGAACTTTGCCAGAGTGAAGATGCAGGTGACCATGTCCCTCTCATCCCTGGTGGGAACATCCCAGAATTTCAATGAAGAATTTCTGCGGCGATCCCTTAAGACTATTCTGACATATGCTGAAGAAGATCTGGAACTTAGGGAGACAACATTTCCTGACCAGGTAAAAGACATAAACCACAATATGTAATCCATTAACAGGCTGTGCCTAAACCTCCATCTAGAACTGGAATTTGCAGGCACTCCCTGGAAAGGGTTTGGGGTTTGGTTTTTTTAATCATCTAATCACATAAAACTCAGGTCTTTGATTAGTTCTGACAAGATGCAAACACACAAAGATTGAGAGTGACTGTGTTCCTCACATAACAATGTGTAGCTCAATTCCCGTTGCCAGTTCTTTACAACAGCTTATTTTTCACAGGTCCAGGATTTAGTGTTCAACCTCCATATGATCCTGTCAGACACAGTTAAAATGAAGGAGCACCAGGAAGATCCAGAGATGCTGATTGACCTGATGTACAGGTAGAGTTGGCACTGTAGGGACAGGAGATGCCAGTGCTCCATGTGGGTTAGGGCACAGATGCTGCACATTTGGGCACTTACAGGACTTGATTGTGGAGCAGTTTTGGGTCTCACTGCTCACAGACCAATCTATGCCTGTCTGCTGTGTTTGAATGTGGTGCTGAGAGGTTTTGTTTGGCATTTAGGCAGCTTATCTTGGATAAAAGTAGTTTTCATTCCCCAGCCATCCCTGGAAATCTCATCTTCCACCTGAGAAGGGAACTCTCCCTGCTTGCTTCAGGGAAAGCTTGGGGGTCTTCCAGCACCTGCTTGCCCAAAAGGCTTTTTGGTGGTACATGCAATGGTGTCCATATGCAAAAGATATTCCAGAGCCAAGTTAAGCTCCCAAGTGCCAAATTTTATGGTGCTGTCTGCACAAATAGCCCTGAGGGCTTTTAGTGGTCAGCAGAGGTTTGGTTGTAGGGAGCCAGGCAGGTGTGCTCTGACTGTGCCACACCTTTGGATTGCCACCAGTCTCAGGTGAAACATGGGCTTTGGTCAGGAGCTTCAGCATCACCCACTGCTCACCCACCACTAAATGGCTCAAAAATCTGTAGTTCAGGGTGATTTCCCATCTCTACAGCTTCTTGTCTCAGGGATTTCCAGACAGCACCAAGGGGGTTTGGTGTTTAAGCAGAAGTGACTAAATACAGTGTGGAAAAGCCATGCTGAAGGGCTGTGCTGGTTCAGAAGGAAAGGGCGTGGAAGCACAGAGGTTTTCTCTCCCTTTAGGATTGCCAAGGGCTACCAGAATTCCCCTGACCTGCGGCTGACGTGGCTGCAGAACATGGCAGGGAAGCATTCCGAGAGGAGCAACCACGCCGAGTCTGCCCAGTGCCTGGTGCACTCTGCAGCCCTGGTGGCCGAGTACCTGAGCATGCTGGAGGACAGGAAATACCTCCCTGTGGGCTGTGTGACATTCCAGGTGGGCATCATCCTCCCTAAGGGGTTTCTGGGCTTTGCTGCTGAGCTGTAAAACGTTTCCATGTGCTGGGAGTTCTGTGCCTTCGTCCTCAAGCTGTGCTCGCTGTTTGTTGCATGAATGAGATGCTGCTCTGTGAGAAGAGAAATGTGTATTTTATACAGATGCTCTACAAAAATAGAAGCATTTTATATATACACTACAAATATGGCAATATTTTACATATATACTCTACAAAAATAGATATATTTTTGTATGCACTACAAAAATGGCAATATTTTACATATATACTCTATAAAAATAGAAAGCCATATTTTACGTATATAGTCCACAAAAATAGAAAGCTATATTTTATATATATATACTTAACAAAAATAGAATGCCACCTCTACAGAAATTCCAGGATTTGACTGCAAATCAGCTGCCTTTCAATGTACTGAAAGTGTTGAGTGTTGTTTGAATTGAGTAAATGTATTTTTATCTCTTGTATCTCCCCAGAACATATCTTCCAATGTTTTGGAAGAGTCAGCAGTTTCTGATGATGTTGTGTCCCCAGATGAAGAAGGAATCTGTTCTGGGAAGTATTTTACAGAAGCTGGTCTGGTGGGATTGCTGGAACAGGCTGCAGCATCTTTCTCTATGGTAGAAGACTTTCATTTCTTTACCTCTCTTCTCCAGCAACCTCACACTGCTGGGCAGTAGGAAGGAAAATGTTTTCTCTCTGAGTGTATAATTCTATTGTAAATGCTTAATTTGCACAGAACAATTGGAGTTTTAATTAAGACAGCCTGGTTTGCCCTCTGCAGTAAACCGAGGAAAAGGAATGAATTAATTCCCAAGACACAACATGAAGTGTCATTCATTGGGCTTATAAGCACAAGTAGCAATAAATCCTGAGCAAAAACCTGGAATTCCTGCTCAGCCCCTCTGTGCAGTGGCTGCCCACGATGGGCTGGACCCACTCCATGAGAGAGATCCTGGGGATCTTCCCAAGTCCATCTCTCCTGGGGTGCCAGAAGTGGATGCAGAAGTCACCCAGGCTGAAGATGTACTGAACAGAAAAAGCTGAAATGTGCATTTGAGCTTTTCCATATTTAGGATCCTGTTTAGACTGTTTTGCTCTTGTGCCTGTGTCCATCCAAAATATCCCAGGATTGGTTATGTTAATGATCCTAATTACTGGCAGCATGATGTAATGTACCAGGCTCTTGATTTCAGGGGTAACTGAGGATTTTACTCCATTTATCTCTGGGTACATTTCAAGAAATGATGTGATTATCCCACAGCCACCTTTTCATTTTGCAGTTTTATCATTTAAATGCTGTGTGTGTAATTCTGGCTGTTGAATTGATGGAGCAATCTGATGGGCCTTATTTTTGTAGGCTGGCATGTATGAAGCAGTTAATGAGGTTTACAAAGTCCTTATTCCTATTCATGAAGCCAACAGAGATGCCAAGAAGTTGTCTACTATTCATGGTAAACTGCAGGAAGCATTCAGCAAGATTGTTCACCAGGTAATGGTTTGAATTTTCAGCTGCAGGGTGAATTGTGAAGAAACTTCAAATGCTCAGTGCAAGGAAAATGAAAAACCATTATTCTCAGATTCCAGGAGAATTGTTAAATGATGATCCACAGTAAATACAAGGATCATTAACAGGTTTTTTTCTGGAGTTTAATATGAGAGAGCATCACAAACCAAGATTTGTTGTAACTTCAAAACTATCCAAGACTTAAAAATCCCAGGTTACCCTTTGAGATGTTCTTTTAAACTGTGTTTTGCATGCTGGGAAAATCACTGTACCTTGCCTTTAGCCTGGTAGGTAACATCCAGAAGTGCTGGGGGGTTTATTTGTTTGTTCATGTGGTGGTTAAAGAATTGAAGGAACCTTTCCAAACTTGGATGGTGCAAAAGCCGCCAGGTTAATTAAGGGTTGTGAGGGGCCTGGCTGTGCTGGGCCAGAGGAGGCTGCTTTGGATGCATGATGACTTAGAACCATTGAAACCATTGCAGGCTTATTGCTGGTCATGTTTTGGCCTTTGAAACTCTTTTTTTTTTGGTTTCTGTGACATGCCCTTTTTACTTTTTATCACACAGAGTACTGGCTGGGAGGTAGGTAACTCCATCTTAGTTAGCAAAGAACACTAATTGAGTTTCCAGATGACTCACGCCAACGCTTGCCCACATGTGCTAGTTGTGGGTGTTTCTGTTGCTGTCTGCTGTTTAAAACAATTCATTAACCAAAGAAATCCCAATAAACCATGGTTGTAGAAGGAATTTCTTCATAAGCAGCTGTAGGTAGTGCATGGATGCTGACGTGTTCCACTAATGAGGTTCTTTGGTGAATGAGCCACTGTATCATCACTAGTTTGTTTTTATAATTTGTTTATATTTCTTTCCATCAGCATTGACACAGAAAATCATCCCTCCATACCATATTTTCACCCCACCCACAGGGGTCGATTTAAGCACCAATGCTCAGAGGTACCAAACACAAACCTGGTTTGCTGCAGGTGCACCTTTGATCTCAGGGGAGAAACTGCTTCCTTTTGTTCTCAATCAATTTATGTAGGGGTTTATCTGACAGTAAAAGGGCTCAGGTGTGTTAACTGGGGCCAGTTTTGCTGCCTGGGTTTTTGAGGAGGCTGTGTGCTCACAGTTCTGCAACACACACCACGAGAACCACGCTTTTGGGTTAAAAATGGACAAAGAAATTGATTCATCTGCAGGGCCACTTTGACTCCAGCCCTAGTCCAGTTGGCACAGTGGGTGCATGAGCATGAAGAAGTCTCAGAAAGCACTAAAAAGCTCTGTGAATATGGTATTCTTTGTTTAGGCTTCATCTTTCCAGTTTATTTTTGCTTTTCTATGGATCAGGCAGCTCATTTTGGGCCACCTCCCTCCAGGTTTCCACCACACATTTACTGAACCGAGGCTGAGACAAAAAAACCTTTGGTGTTGTGGGACATAATTAAGGCTGGTGATGTCTGAATGTCAGTTTCAATTCCAGCCTGGCAAAAAATGGAAATTGAGCAGCTTAAAATAAACCCTGACACTTGAGGGCTGGCCCTGGAAGTCATCCCCTTGTCCCCATGGAAGGTCCAGGCAGACACAGCCCAACAGAAAACCTGTGCTAGGTGTGGAAATGATGTTAATGTGTTCAAGCCAACAAGGCCTGTGAGCATCTGTTTTATTATTCTGCCCCTAAATCGACCCCTGGAGAGACTCCTGCCATTGGTTATGATTCTAACACCACTTGGTCATGTTTTACTGCATGGTAAAAGACACCGTGGGTTCAGCTCTCCTCTGTCATTGTGCTCCTTCATTGCCACACTTTTTCTGACCTTTGTGCTTTGTAGCTTTCAGGTTTGTTGCATGTTTTGCCCTTTTTTCCCCTCCCCTTATTTTAAATATTTTAATGGATGCCTGCTCCCATTTTTTTTAATTTTAAAATTTATTTGCTGCCAATTTGCTGCTTGTTTGTTTTATGGAATTTCCCTAATTAAATACTTTCTGTTTTCTCCTCTATCGCCCTGGTTGCTGACCCTCCTCCCCACTCTTACTATTGTCTGTTGTGGTAAGTTCCTACTTGTGGAATTTTTTTTCCCTTTCTCTGCCCCTTTTCCCCCACCTCCCCTTTTTGGTTTTGGTTTGGTTTTTCTTTTTTGTTTTACACTGTGGAACCCCCAATTTCATTTTAGCAAAGAGCTATGCCAACAGCAGCACCCCCCTCATGGCACAAGGAATGTGGTGTTGCCAACTACAATCATTGCAGTGTCCTGGGTCTGGCACCAGAGCATTCCTGAGCTCTCCTTAAACACACCAGCTGATGGGCTTTGTGTGCTTATTCATGGAATAAATGTTGAATTCATTCTGTTTGTTTGCTTTTTAGTTAGGAAAATTAAGTAAAAATCTTTTCATGCTGTGCCACAAGAATTCAAAAACTTTTTAAAGCTGTGTATGAGGAGGTTGCCAGTGGATAACAAGGCTCCAGGAGCTGATTCTTTCCCAAAAAATCAATATTGGAAGACTCGTAGTAGTTGGCAACACTGCAGAGGACCTTGGGTTAAAATTGAGCAGGAAAATAACAGTGCTGAGTTTGGTAAAGATGAGTTGGATTCTGCACTTTGAAGGAGTTGCTTTTGTTCCTGCACCCTTCAGGCAGCTGCTGCTGTCCTGGTGGAGGAAGCAATGATCCCTCTTGCACCTGATTTATCCTTTTTTCCCCCCAAATCTTGTTGGCAAAGCTTTTTGTGTGCGTGCAAGAGATAACCCCAAAACTTTGTTCCCAGCAATTTGGAAAGGTATTTACCATGCATAATAACAAATCATGAACCTTCATAAGTCATGGTGGCTGTTACCTGCTCTGCCAGTTGTGTGATGGCTATTCAGTGTTCACCTTCATTCTCTTCTCCTCCCCAAAATCCTATTATTTTTTGATAAAATAATAGGAGATACAATGCTTTTAATAATTCCTTCCTCATATCTGCATTTTTAGCTCTTGCCAGAAACAAGACCACAGAGCATTAAATTGTTTGTTCAGTTTTCCCTGCTGTGGCTGGGAAGTGGTTTGGTGTTGGCTGAGTTTGAGATCCCAGTACAGAGCCATCCCCTCTCCCTGGTGCCAGGCATGGAGCTGATCCCAGGGAAGTGGCAGCTCCTGAATATCTCTGGGAGGCCTGGAGTGGTCTGCAAGTGTTTCCCCCAAAGGGGTTTGCTCCCATTCCCTTGCCTCCAGGCACAGATTTCCAGCATGAATCACATCAGGGGCTGACAGTGCTCCTCACTGCTGCCTCTGGGATCCCTTTAACTGGGATTCAGCATCTGGATTTACCAGAGAGAGCCAGAGCAGCATGGGGATGAGCTGGGAGCTGACCTCACACAGGGACAGGGAATCTCACCAGACTTCCCTGGAGATCTGCCACTCCTGGAGCTCTCCAGTGCCCCAAAACTCTTATTTTATGCATTTAGTAAATGCCAGCAGGACTCCTCAGTGATTTTTTACTCATCAACAGACAGCATTCTCTTCCTCCTTTATCATTTTTACCCTGCCTGTAACAAGGGGCTGCAGGTGTCCATGGCAAAAATTCACTGTAGAGATTTGGTTCTGCAAATGCTGGAAACCCCTGGCCCAGGAGGAAGGAAAAAACTCATTAATTAGAAATCAGTGTGTCCTCAACCTCCCAGTGCCAGGGTTGGGGCAGGATCCCACAAACTTGCCCATGGAGCATGGCCAAGCCTTGTGCTGGCCCTGGGGAGCTGATCCGTGTGGCAGACATGGAGCCATGGAATGGTTTGGGTTGGAAAGGACCTTAAAGAGATCAGGTTCCAACCCCACCTCCCCCCAGGTGCTGCCTTGGGAAGGACTTTGAGAAAGGAGCCCTGGAGTCAGGGCCTTCTGTCTGTGACAGGTGGAAGCTGGAAATGCTGAGTGTTGAGGGATTTTAGTGTGGATAATGTTACCCAAAACTGAAAAGGTAGTGATGAGGAAAAAAGGATTCAGTAGCTCAATCCTGCATTAATCCAGAGGGATGGGCACTGGACAAAGACAGGGAGTGCAGGGAAATGGCAACATCCAGTGAAACAGCAGCAGCTCTGCAGCTGGAGTTCCACCCTGGGAGGGCTGCTGGGATCCTGTGGTGTGCTGAAAGCCCTGGAGAAGAGCTGCAGCAGCATTCCCAGAGGGACAGGCTCTAGAGCAGGGTCCAGGGAGCCTGGGCACAGCCAGCTGTTGCTTTTTTGGGATGAGGGCTGCTACTCACCCCAGGTGCTTCAGGAGGGCAGAGTCAGCTCTGAAGTGGAAGTTTTTGGCCCTCAGGCACCTCCAGGGGGATGCTCCAGTTTCCTCCAGCCAGGGGAAAGCAGTGGAGTTTTTGTAGTCTGGAGTTTGCCTGAAGGGTTTTCTTTAATTTTAGTTTGGCTTATTTATCCTCTTTGCCTTCCGTAGATCGTGTTCACCATCACCACAAGAGATCAGTTTTGCCATAGCAAAATACTAAAATAAAACCTGGCAGCCAGGACACCTGTAAGGGCTGTTTGAAGCCAAAACCTAACCCAGCTCAGGGACACTGAGTGTCCTTTACTGCATCACACTTTGTCACGAGAGTAAAGGTGAACATTTTGGAGTTTCTTGCTGAAAGGCATCCCTGGTTTGTGCATGCAGCGTGAGTTCTTTAACACAAGCAAGGTGTGTTTAATTTTTAAAGCATTTTTCTTCTCTCTCTCTCTCTCTTAATCAGATTTTCTCCGTTGCCTTTCCAGCAAAAAGTCTTTCTTGTTTCTCTCCTTTTGTTGCGTTTCGGGGCCAAATTCACCACTGGCTCCCCTGGAAGCAGGTACATGGCACAGGATTGCATCTGCTTTCACCAGGAGTGACTTTGGCCCTCTCTCCTAGACAGTTCCTAGAGAGTGTAACACCTCCCAGCTGGAATGCTGGTTCAAGAGCACTTGTGTGTGTGTGTGAGTGAGTGAACTGGACATTGACTTGGGCCCAACCCTGCAATTCCTGGAGGGTGGGTTTGGGGTGATTCCAGGGTGTCTGACCCCTGCAGGGTCTCTGCACAGGCTTTGGAGAGCCTCAGATAATGATCCCAACAAAGGGATTTGCCTTTGGCAGCCTCTCAGAGATATCTGATGCTTCTTAAGCTGAAAGAGAATAGATATAGGTGGATATTGGGAAGGAATTGTTCCCTGTGAGGGTGATGAGTCTCAAGTTCCCAGAGAAGCTGGGGCTGCCCCTGGATCCCTGGAAATGTCCCAGGCCGGGTTGGACAGGGCTTGGAGCACCCTGGGACAGTGGGATATGTCCCTGCCATGGCAGGGGTGGCATTGGATGGGCTTTGAGGTCCCTTCCAACCCAAACCATTCCAGAATTCCATGATGGCACCTCCAGGCTCCTCCTGGGTTGGGAGAAGTCATTGCAGGGTTGGGCTGATGGTCGTAACTGATCCATAGAATTCCATGTTAGTTTATAATTCCATTGTGGTGTTTGCTGCTAAATGCATCCATGCTGAGTTCCAGGTGTGTTTTTTTTCTTTCCCTTCTTTCTTTCTAATTTTTTTCTCTTGTTTTTAAATTTCTTTTCATTTTTGCATAAATTCAGGAGCCTGCCTGCAGCCGTGCTTGGGGGTGTGCGTGTCTCCACCCTGAAATAACCTCTTGTTTCTCCATCCCTAGGATGGAAAGAGGATGTTTGGCACCTACTTCCGAGTTGGTTTTTATGGAACTAAATTTGGAGACCTGGATGAGCAAGAGTTTGTTTACAAGGAGCCTGCAATAACCAAGTTGGCTGAAATCTCCCATCGGCTGGAGGTGAGAGGGTTTCACTGGAAGTTTGACTTCATCATCAGTTGTTTCACAGGAGCAGCCCCTGTTTGGGTGTCTGAGAGCTGGGGCTGGTGTCCCCTGCCCTCCTGCAGGTGCCAGCTCTGTGGAAGGAGAGAGGAATTCCCTGATCAGAGGCTCTCCCTGAAAATTTGTGATGTTCCCATTATCTTTCTCCTCCAGTAGGATCTTCCCAAGGCAGAGACTGAGTCTTTGCTAGTCTCTTCTTTATCTTCTTGTTTCTCCAAGATGTTCTTGTGGTCCATAAATTCTGCATTCCAGATGTCCAGCCTCAACAGTCCATCTCAGGCTTTGTTCACTGAAGCACAGCAGAGTTGGTTTATCAAAACTTACAGCTTCATTAATTTCCCCAGGCTGTGCTCCCACAAAAGTAGGTTATGACAACGTTGCTAAATGCTGGCTAAGAGTAATTTAGGAATATCACAGTATTTATAATTAATATATATATAGGTTTTGATTAAAACAGTTAATTTAAATGTTAATTAAAATCATTAAATAAAATTTAAACATTCTATCATTTCCAACACCAGTGGATCCCAAAGTTACCGTTTTAGTTGCACACCAACACAAAACAAACCCAATGCCTCGTTCAGAACCAGGCACTGCTGGAAGGCTCTCCTGCTTTCCAGGGTTTGTTTTTTCCCATTGCTCCTGGAAAGTGACTGTTGGAATTCTCCTGGGTTCAGCAGGTCACATTCTGTCAAAGGCTTCTGGAGCTTCACCTCCCCTGGATGTGCCTCTGCCCCCAGCCCCCATCATGCATTTGATGTTTTTTTCCTTTCTCCTTGGTTGTAGGGATTTTATGGAGAACGGTTTGGGGAAGATGTGCTGGAAGTGATCAAGGACTCAAACCCTGTGGACAAATGTAAACTTGATCCCAACAAGGTAAGGGCACAAAGTGCAGGTTTGGAGATAGAACAGGTCCTGAATGGGTGAAATTACAGTGGGACAATTTCTGCCCTGAATTTCACCACATGGACAACAAAATCCATGTGCTGAGCATGTTGTGGCTGCTTGGGAGGAGAGTTTGGGAAAATAATTCCAGCAAGGGATGCAGAATTGGCCATTCCCTTCCCTGGCCTGGCAGTGGTGGGTGGGAAGGGAGGAGGTGAAAGGACAGAGGCTGTGCTGGCCTTGCTCTGCTGGGTGCAAGGAAGGAGGGGCTGTGCCATTCCCTGGCTTTTGTGCAGCTGCAGCATTTTGTCACCTTTGTGCCACGTCCTTCAAGAGTAGCAGAAAGAGCAGGAGCAGGCCTGGGAAACAGCAGAAAGAGCAGGAGCAGGACTGTGGCACAGGGCAGGGCAAGGAAGGGTTTAGATTGGATATTGGGGAGAAATTCATTGTGGAGTGCCCAGAGAAGCTGTGGCTGCCCCTGGATCCCTGGAAGTGCCCAAGGCCAGGTTGGAGCACCCTGCTTTAGGGGAAGGTGTCCTGCCTGTGGGAGGGGTGGGCTGGATGGGCTTTAAGCTCCCTCCCACACGAAGCATTGCATGATTCCATGATGTGAAAGGCATGGGAAGGGAAGGACAGTGAGCTGTGCTTTACCCAGCCCCCAAACCAGCAGCAGCACCTCGGTCCCTCCGGTGTGAGCGGGATTTTTGAAGGCAAAGCCCAGCCCTGGTTTTGCAGTGGTGTTGGGGGGACAGCACAGCTGAGAGCCCATTCCCTGCTGCAGGCCTACATCCAGATCACCTACGTGGAGCCCTACTTCGACACGTACGAGATGAAGGACAGGATCACCTACTTTGACAAGAACTACAACCTGCGGCGCTTCATGTACTGCACGCCCTTCACGCTGGACGGCCGCGCCCACGGCGACCTGCACGAGCAGTTCAAGCGCAAGACCATCCTCACCACCTCCCACGCCTTCCCCTACATCAAAACCAGGATCAACGTCATCCACAAGGAGGAGGTGAGGCTGCAGCTGGGTGGGAAATGGTGCCTGGTGGTGCAGGAGGCACTTTGTCCCATTCCAGCTTGCCTTAGGAGCTTGGGACTTCTCCCTGGTGCCATTGGAGCCAAACTGAGCCCAGACTGATTTGGGGATGTGCCTGCCCCACCAGCTCCAGACCTGTAGGGGCACTCTGCAGGTTGAGCTGTGTTGGTGTTGGAGCAGCCTGGTCCAGGGAAGGTGTCCTGCCCATGGTGGAGGTGGAATGGGATGAGCTTTAAGGTCCCTTCCCACACAGCCATTCCGTGATTCGGTGACAATGGAGGTTTGGGAATTTTCCAGGGGTGGGCAGGATCAGATGTGGTCACTGGGACGCTGTGAGCAGTGACCCAAAGGGGCACGAGGGAAACATCTCACACAGCTCTGGGGTGCCCAGAAACACATCTAAAAACCAAACCTTTTCTTGGTGTCACTAAACCAAGGTGATGCATTTCTGAGGTCCTGTTGGTGTCCTCCACCCCTTAGTGGTGCCACCCTGTGGATTTCTTTTTTTTTTTTGGTAAGGCTGGGATTAAATGTATGAGATGGTATTTTTTATGTTTGGATTTAGTTGTTTATTCGTTTTTAATTTATATTATAATTTTATAAATTGTGAGTTTTATAGTATTTTAAAAAATTTAAAATGGAGTTCTATTTTTTAATAAAGTTTTTAAAGGATAAATTGTTTCAATAAGAAATTATATTTAAATTATTTTTATTTTAAATTTAATAATTAATTATTTGTGGTTTGTAATGTGGATTTTTTCTTTAAATAATATTATTTAAATTTATGAAGAAGATTAAGAAGCAGATTTAGTTTTTGTTTTATATATATTATTTATATATATAACAAAATTTTCTATGTATTGTTTTCTATATATTATTATATTTTAAATCTTAAAGTTTTTTATTATGTGAAATTATATACTTTTGTCTAAATTATATATTTATGTATAATTAGTTATTATTATTGGTTTTATAGTTTTATTATTTAGTTTTGGAAGCTTTTTTTATGGTGTTAGGTTAAATGCAGTGTTCCCTTGGGGGTTAGTGCCTGTCAGCACACAAAGTCTGAAGTTCTCAGTAACCAGGGTTCCAGCACCACCCCACTGAGACCTGGGTGTTCCTCAAGGCCTGTGCCTGGTTGCCAAGCTCAGCCTTAACAAAAATCCTGTTCTGGCTCCTTGCTCAGATCATTTTGACGCCCATCGAGGTCGCCATCGAGGACATGCAGAAGAAAACCCAGGAATTGGCTTTTGCCACCCACCAGGACCCTGCAGACCCCAAGATGCTGCAGATGGTGCTGCAGGGATCAGTAGGTACCACAGTGAACCAGGTGAGCATCACTGTCCCAGCTGCTCTCTGGGGCTGCACAGCCTTGGGCCTTGTTTCTCAATTCCCCTGGAGTTTTTTCCCTGTTCAGTCTGTGGGATGTGTTTAAGGTCATTTAGGGAAGGTCTAGGCCAGCTGTGATTTTGCTATTTGAGTAAGAGTCTTGAAAATGTGGAAAGAAACTGGAAAAAACATCCCTCCCTCAGTTACTGCTCCTTCCTGGCACTTGCAGTTGTTTCTGCCTGCTCCTCTTCCCTAAACTTTCCCTTTGTTAGCCAGGCTCTGCAGGATTGTGTCCTGCTGTGGATTTTCAACAAAATGGAAAGCAGTGGAGATAAACTGAGGAAAAGCTGAAAGAGCCTGAGTAAAGCACAGTGCACAAGCTGGAAAAAAATCAGCTGGAGTTCTGAGTGCTGGGTTGAGTTTGCAGTGCTGGCAAACACTCCCTGGCTTCCATCTGCATTGTTTAAACTTTGCCTCAGTTGTGAGCTGATCAAACTTGGTCAGGAGTCCTTATAAAGGAAAACAAATGGAGAATCTGTGCAGTTTCTCACACTGTTTTCCAAAAGCAGAGTTTTAAATAAAACAAAGCAAGGCTTAAAGGCGACTCAGTTGTCACTGAGGTTGGTGATTTACACCAGATTTCCCAGCTGTAGCTCTTCAGGATGCTTTGTGTAAGGAAATGTTGTGTTCTGTGCATGTTTTCTATGGGGCTGAGCTTTCTGCAGTGGTTGGATATGACAGACAGTTCCCAGAAACTCACTGTGCCCCTTCTTCTCCTAAAGGGACCATTAGAAGTTGCACAAGTTTTCTTGTCTGAAATCCCCAACGATCCAAAGCTCTTCAGACACCACAACAAACTCCGCCTGTGCTTCAAGGACTTCACCAAAAGGTATGGCAAGAGTCCCCAGGGCACCTGCCAGCTGCAGTGGCTGCTGCCACCCCAGCAGGGCCACGTGCAGTGACCCAGAGCTGTCCTGGTGTCCTTCACCTGCCCAGGTTCCACGTGCAGCTCCTTCCTCGCCTGCCCAGCCCTTCCCTGTTGCTGCTCCCTGGCTTCATGGCCCGTGCTGTTATCAGGGAGGAATTGATCCCAGCTCAGTGTCCCAGAAATCACAACAGGCCAGAGCTCCCAGCCTGGCAGGGTCAGGAGAAGCTGCTGGACTGGCCAGGAGATGAAATTTCCTTCTGAAGTGTATTTCTCCAAGCAGAGTGGAGGGATGCTGGCACAATTCCCTGGAGAAATGTGCTGGCTGCTCTACTTTCCTTGAGTCATGCAAACTGCAGGCTCAGTCCAGCATCTTCTACAGCACCAAGAAATTTTAAAAACCACCAAAGTAATTGAAATGAAAAAGCTGTGAGCAAATAGATCCAGTGGAAGCGTAGCTTTCCCTTGTGAAATAAATGGTTTTGCTGAAAACAACTGATACAGTTGTTTTCCTACCCTTTATTTAAATTACATTTTTGCAAGCAGAAAAGTTCTTGATGAACATCCCAGGCTGCTCTTTATTAATCTCTCCTGATTTATCCATCTTTAAATCCTCTGGGACTGCAAGTGGCTCTGTGGAAATTAGCCTTTCATTTCTCTTCAGAGAGGATAAATGTAACTGGAGGGTAAATGACAATAAAAAAGGAGTTGTCACTCTGGAAACTGGAGATGTGACATCCTCTCCTTGCCCCCTGGACACGAGGTGGTTCAGCTGAGCCTTGATGACCAAAAGGCAGGACAAAGGCTATTCCCTGTGATCCCAGAGGGCCAGAGTGGCTGCTTTTGGACTGTTGGATGAGCACACCTGTGGCAAGGGGCTCCTCCTGCGTGCCCAGCTCTCAGAGGGTTTGTGTTGCAGGTGTGAGGATGCCCTGAGGAAGAACAAGAGCCTGATCGGGCCGGACCAGAAGGAATATCAGCGGGAGCTGGAGCGCAACTACCACCGGCTCAAGGAGGCTCTGCAGCCCCTCATCAACAGGAAGATCCCACAGCTCTACAAGGCAGTGCTGCCTGTCACGTGCCACAGGTGCATATTTGGGGTTCCTCTTGGGGCACAGGGTGTGAAACAGGGCTCTGAGCTTCCCGGGATCCTGCGCCATCTGTTTGTTTTCGATCCTGGCTGTCCTGGCTGAGCCTGTCCCTTTTCCCTTCTGTCCCTCCTGAGAGCACGTTCCCTTCCCAGCAGCTGTGGTAGGTGGTGTTTGCAACTTTCCTTTTGTTCCTCAGCTAGGACAGTCGGTTTTTGGTTTGTTTCCATCCTGCATCCCATTCCTTTTAGATGCAAAACCACCCTCAGCATGGCAGGACTTTATTCCCAACGAAAATGGGATCAGGTGCTCCACTGGGGGGAAATTGTTGGTGCTGGAAGACCAGGAAGCTGGAGATTGGGTTTGTGTGAGACAGGACATAAAAATCCCAGTGGGAATCACAGACGGGTTTGGGTTGGAAAGATCTTAAATACATCCAGTCCCACCCCCTGCCATGGGCACCTTCTGCCAGAGCAGGCTGCTCCTACCTGGTCTGGAAAAATTCCAGGGTGACCAAGACCTCCACGTCAGGTCATGGATGAGCAGGGGGATTTGGGGTACAGCCACTTTCCAGCCAGGCTGTGGCTCCCAGATCAGGGCCAGGAGTGGTTCCCAGCAGCAATCTGGGACCCCTGTGGAGTTCCCTGGCAGCAGGGCAAGGCTGGATGTTCCTGGAGCTGAACTCAGGGGGTTTCTGGCTGCAGGAAGGTCCCTTCCCTCCCTGCCCAGCTTTGGAATGCTGGAGCTCTCCCCAGCTCTGTGTCCCAGCTGTTCCCTGGCAAATTTTCCTGGCTGGCATGGTGGGAATAGCAGAGCTTCCCTCCCCACCCAGCCAGGAACACTGCAAATGCTTTTGGTGTGGTAATTATTATCTGATCAGATAATCAGCCTAATACAGGTATGACATTAAATACCCTGAAAATCACTGAACATCCTGAGTTGGAAGGATCCCACAAGGATCACTGAGTCCAACTCCAAGTATTCCTGGCAAATTCCACTTCAGGGATGTGTTTGAAAGATTTAAATAAGGTTTCAGTTGTGCAGGTGTTTGTGCTGCTTCTCTGTGTACACAGGAATTAAACTTTCTGTCAGTGTTTTGGATGATCCCAGGTCCAAACCCAAACCCAATTCCTTGGAAAAGCAACGAGTTTTAATGCCAGTGGACTTCTAATTTTTGTTGTAACCAGCTCTAGAAAATACTGGAAATCAGTTCAGAGTCATTCATCTGGTGAGGCTTCTTATTTCACCATGGAAAATCTGAGCTCATCATTGTATTTTCTCTCCCTCAGAGACTCCTTCAGCAGGATGAGCCTTCGCAAAATGGAAATCTAAACGAGTTAAAACCAAAATAAAAAAAAAAAGCACTTAAAAAATTAAGGTTTTGAAAAGAAAAAGAGCCTTGTTATCAGCGCTGGGAATCAAAGAAGTTTTATTGTGAAATAAAACTTGGACTTCATCCTGGACATCCCACACACCTCTTCCTCCATCAAAGTGTTCAGTGGCCAAAAAAATCATTCTGAATTGTCAAATGTAGACTTCTCAATGTTTGAAAAGAAAAAAACCATCATGGCAGTGGTATCCAGAGTATTGGTGATGAGCTGTAAACTTACCTGTTTTTTAAGGCATTTTTATGACTCAAAGGTACACTAAAAGCATTTACCTTTATTTATAGCATTACCTAATGTTAAATTTATTTTACTTTTAGTTCCTATATTTAATTTATATTAGGACCATACGCAAATGCATTTTGGAAGTTTTTAATGTAGTGATGATGCTGATGGTTATTTTGATGGTACTATTAAATATGTGAATGTTTACACTTTAATTCCCTGTGCATTGGACTTCAGGGCTCAGCATCCTTGGGGAAAAAGTTCAGAGCAAGGTAAGTCCTGGTAACATTAATTAACAGAGTGCTGATTGTTTATTATCCCTGTTCTTTTGCTGCAAACAAAACAAAACAAACACCTCCTTCAGTCCATCAGGGGAAAGTTTCAGCTTCACTTCTGTGTGTTCCTGGGCATCTCCACCAGCTGGGAGGTCCCAGCATCTCCTCACCCCTGGAATTAGCAGTGTCCATGGAACTGAACTCATTTTGTGTCCATTCTTTAATTTATAACCTCATTTCACAGGGCAGAAGAACCTAAAATGGTATCACAGTTTAAAAGGGTACAAAGCATTCTTTGCATTGCTGTTTATGTGAAGAAAGATGTTTTATAGAGCAGATATTTTGGGGTCTAACACTGCACTTTGAGGAAACATCAGATTTGGAGCTGAGTCCACAATTCCTAAATCTTGTCTTTAATATTTTTCCTCTCTGTGGTGAACAAAGTCCCCTGGAAGAGGTGGTGTGTGATTAAACACATTTATTCTCTCTCCATAAATACCTAAGTATGCATTAAAAAAACCAGATATACACACAAAATCTGAATTTGATAAACATACTCTTTATATATATATATATCAAAAAATAGAAGGAAAATGGGTTTCTACATGAAGTGCCCCCTTCTGCAGCAGCACTGAAGGTTTAGGGTGGGGAGGGTCTTTTTTTCCCTTCCTGATACTTATTTTAGGTTATTGGAGACTTCTCCCATGCTCTGTTACCCAGCAGCTGCACAGTTGGTGCTTTGTGTGCCAGGCTCTGCAGGGTTCCCTGGAACAGAATAATCCTGAATTGGTTCTGTGTCACACCTGGGTGGAATTCCCTGCAGAAGGAGAATTCCAACCTTTTCATGGATATTCCAAGGCTCTTGCATAGCCCAGGGCTGCTGACAAGGCCTTTGAGGTGCTGCAGGAGTCAGGGAATCTCAGAATGGAAAATATTAAGGAAGGAGGGAAGGGCTTTGGAAGAGATTTACAGGAAGAAGCATTAAAAATATTTACACAGTGCAAACAAATCCCAGGAGCCATGAAAGGATGAAACTTTAATTTACAGCAGTCCTGCTCCAGGACAGGAGTTACAAGCAACAAGTTCAGGGGGGTGGCAAGTGGTGCTTGGATGAATATCCCAAAAATCCACCCCCAGTCCCTCTCCTGTGCCAGAGGAGGGGTTTTCATTCAGCATCTTCCAGCTGAGGCTGTTTTCTCTTCAGCTGCCACAAAAGAATCTCCTCCCAAGCTGTACTGGGATGATGGAAGGCAGCTGGGTCTTCCTGACATCCTGTTTTGGTGTAAATAATGGTATTTTGTTTCCTTGGAACATTCCTGATGCTGCAGTTGAATGAAAAAGATAAAGTCTTGCGCCAGGTGTGGAAAAATAAACTTTCATTTGCAGGCTGAAATTCAGCAAAGCCTAAAAAATTGCATTCTGTAATGGGATTGGGCTGCCCTTGCAAGGTAAGATTACTGATATTTTTGTAATGTAGCTTTTTCTTGGTTTAGACTCTGAAATTATTTATTATTATGGTGCTATGCTTTGGAAAAGGGAAAGTGTATTTTGTCCTTGCAGATTTTCTATGCAAAATCAAGGCCTGTACAACAGTCAGAGGTCAAACCTAACATGGAAAATGCACTAAAAGAGATTTTTCCTGACTTACCTCCATGTTTATACAACAGTATAATAAAAGACAGTGAAAATTAAGTACTGCAGAATTAACTAGGCAGAGGTTTTTAGGGGTTTTTCTGTAAATAAATTAATTTGTAGTGGAAAAAGGTGAAATACATCCAGGGCATACTCAAAGCCTGCGGTGACACTTGATGTCATTCCATCCATCCTGGGACAGACTGAACAATCCCCCTTTTCTGAGTCATATTTGTTAGGATTTTACTTATCAGTTTATAGGAGTCACCTTCAATTCTCTGACAGACAATTTGGGATTTTCATCTCTAGTGTTTAGTACAAATGTTTTTGGTTTTGCAATGTTTCCCCTTAAACTCACAATTGTAGTCAAAAAGTACCTTCAAATTAGGAGGTACTGCCCAAGAACCCTAAAACCCACAGCATGTATTCTAGAAGCACTTTAATTCTGTAAGCTAATTTCCAGCCTTTTTGTAGCTGTTCCCAAAGCCCTTTCCCTCTCTGCTTTCCCCTCTCCAAACACAACAGGCTGATCTGCTTGTCTCAGATGTGGATCATAACTTTTTTATTTATATGTACATTCTTAACAAAGCATCAAACCCAAATGCTTTCCTTTTCCCCCACGTTTCAGTGAGCTCCAGGTACAAATGAACTTCAGTTAGAAGGTCAGCACTAAGTTCCCAACCACCCCAAACAGAGATGCAGATTTGAGGGCTTCACTCTTCAAAGTACAAAATTATTTTAATTACACTACACTCTGCCCCTGGTTTGAAGTATTAATCACACCTATTTACACTTTGCTCATTAACACCTATGTACCAAGATGCAAATTAGACCAGTCAAACACTTCCATGAATTCAGTTCCCTCCAATGCTCTGGACAAGGTTCCCAGACCCTTTTTCTTGTGCTTCAAGTTGGAAGGAGCAGGAAAGAACTGGAGCAGGAGAATAAACCACGTCCATTACCCAAAGACTAAATATGAAGTGTTACTTCCCAAGTTACAAAAATACACAACTTCTGATGAAATTTGCTAGTTAATATACATTTACTCCAGGGTATGAATACAAATAACTTTTATTAAAAAAAAAACAAACAAAACAAAAAAACCAAACAAACCAAAAAAACAAAACCAACAGAAAAAATAAAAAGGAAAAAACTGGAAAAAAATGGGCAAAAAAGGAAAAAAAAGAAAAACAACAGAAAAAAAAAAAGGAAAAAATTGGGGAAAAAATGGGCAAAAAAGGAAAAAAAAAAGCTAATAATACAACAGGCATGTCTGAGACCTAGAGCTGCATTAAAACCACTACTGGGTGCTGTAGGCATCGTTTAGAATCTATACAAACTGGTATTTCTAAAAGGTCAGAGCACTATTCTGCAGCAGAAAAGTTACGGTGTGAGTCAAGTCCTATGTCATGTTTTGTTAATTCAAGTCGAGCCACTTGACACTGAAGGAAAAAAAAGACCAGAAAGATGAAGAATCAGTAGCTTCAAAAAACAAACAGCCGTTGCTTCCAGGTAGTTTGGATGCAAATCAGAGCCAGAGGTGTACGCAAATCCCAAATATTTACAGTCCAAGTACAGCATCACTCTACAATTTTCTTATAAAACAGTAGATAAGGAGTCGATGTAGATGACGATGTGGGAGAAAGAGAATTCAGAAAGTCCTTTTCCTCTGTGACCTTCACTTCGGAATCATCGAAGAGCAGCCACTTGCCCTCGTACTCCTTGAGGCTCTGGAGCACGCAGAGAGCTTTGTTCTCCAGTCCGTTGGCTCCCAGCGCCGGGGGCTCGCCCTGCTCCGCCCTGGGCTCGGCGCGGGGCTCACTGCGGGGCTCGGGAGCCACGCTCACGAGCTTCTCGGGGTTGGGCTGTTTGCTGGCACACAGCTCACAGTCAGCCTTGCTCTTCTGCCCCCCGAGCAGCCCCACGGCCTCCATGTTCTTCTTGCTGAGCACCTTGCCCGGCGGCGCGGCGCCGTTGAGCCTGAAGGAGACCTCGCCGTCGTCGTAGTCCTCGGCCACGGCCCGCGCCTCCTCCTCGGTCAGCGGCTCCGGCTTGAGCGCGCCGTAGGCGGGAAGGAAGTTGCCCCTGTCCAGCTCGGGGAGGAAGTTGCCCCCGTCCAGCTCCAGGCTCTGCAGGTCTGTGACCTTCACCGAGGCCGTGTAGTGGCCGCTGCTGATGGTGATGCCGCTGTGCATGACCACGGCGAAGAGCCCGTAGGTGTCGTTGGTGGGCCGCGTGCTCCACTCCTCCAGGGACAGCCTGAGCGGCGTCAGCAGCGGCGTGTTGATCTTGGACAGGCCCCCGTAGCAGTCAAACCTGCCAAAGGACACACAGCTTACACCTCGTGCCACAGCACCGCCCAAAAACCGCTTCCGGTGGCCCAGAGGTGCAGCCATACCCTTTCTTCAAAGATATGGATGGTGGGAACTGCTCCCTGCTGCCCTGGCCCAGCATCCCAAGCACCCCCAGTCAGGAAAGGCATTTTTATGAGTGTAATGTTAAATCTTACAGCCCAGAAACTGAAAATTTGAACTATTTCTGAGATCCCATTTTTCTAAAGGTAATTTTTAAATAGTGATGATAAAGGTTCAGCTGATTGTTATCACTCCTGCTCCTATTTCTGCACAAACACCCCCTTCTCTCTCTCACCATCCTGTTCAAAAACAAACCAAAAACCTCTTCAACAGCCAAGGCTGAATCAAGCAGGGTTGGGTTTGTTTTTTTCTCCTCCTGAAAGAGTCATTTACTAAATAAAGCATTACTTATTTTACTTTCAAGCAGCTTTAATATCACTCAGATTGTGACTAATTTTCCTCAGCTCCCCTCAGTGCACTGTAGCTGTGGTGCTCACCTGAGATTTTCACTAGCTGTCCTTTGGCATTCTAATTTTTTAAACAATTCTGTAGCTAATTTGCTTTGGAAAAACCTCTAGTGTTCCATAAATATTCAGTATTTTGTTCACAGTACACAAATTTACCAGGAGGGGAAAAATTCCTATCATTATAAGGATCTTCTACAGGGTTTGAAGAGAAAGTCAGTGTTGGGATTTCATTGTGCATCAGCCTCCTTGAATGATTCTGCTCTTGATGACTTACACATTGCATCAGCCCAGATCAATTAATCCCTTTATTTAACAATAGGTTGTGATGTCCTAATAAATTCCAGGGATGACTCAGTCTTACTCAACTGTGAGGGTGTTGCAGGGAAAAATACTGGGGAGTACAGACAAGCCCTGTAAAACTGAGGTTTCCAAGAGCTCACTGCTCTTATCATAGGAAAAAATAACTTAAATCCAAGGAAACTGCAGCCATGGCACATCTGCAGTTATGATTATTGTTTTCCTGGATTTAATTTTGGTTGTGCTTCACTCCTGTTCAGAGCCATGAACCCTGAGACACAGAAATAAACAGTGACATACACAATCCTCAGTCACTTCAGACCTCTCTCACCATACACTTTTCACTCCAGCAAAAGGAACACAGAAGAGCACAGAATTAGAAAAAATAAACCTTCTGAATATCTCTATTTCTGGTTGCTGATAATAGGGATTTTCAGAAGAGAGTCCAGAAACACAGAACTGCTGGCTGATACACTGGATTACAAATCCAGTTCCACTCAAGCACACTGGGACAATCATATTCACAGAAAACAGGAAAAAGCAGGCTCTACCTTTCTTCTCAATGACATCCAGCATCAGAAAGATTTGGAGAGGAGGAAATAAGAGAGGAAATCTTTTCCTATTAGCTTTTTGTTCTTCTTAATGATAAGAATCTGAAGACAGAAAAATTGCATGCCAAGTACTCTGCCTGCTCTGACTGATGCACTTCAAACACATCAAACCTGATTTTTGCAGCCACATCTTTTGAGACCATAAATTAGTGACATTTTACCCACTGCACTGAATTTCACAAGACAAAAAGCTGATTTTCTCACAGATTGTTACATTTCTATAGTGGAAATGCTTAATTACATGTTACCAGTTAACAAATTCCTCCTAAACAGCTTCACAGCCTGCTCACACATGGCCTGGCATATTTCCCCACACACACACTTGCCAAAGAGAATGACTCCTCCCCAGACAAGGAGATTTTCACACTGGCTGCTTTATTTTAAAACAAAACACTTTGCAAAGCAGCATCTAGAAAAGATGAATAAAATCCCTATTAACTGCAAATATTTACAGTACTCTTCACTTCTCATTTATTTATAACTCAGTCACCAGAGAACTCAGTAGAGCACAACTGAGCAGACAAGATTCCCAAGTTTTTGTGGGAGATAAAAGTTGTCTGAAGATTCTTATCTTAAAAAAAAATTTTTAAAGCCAGTAGAAGAATTTGTTACTACTTTTAGCAGGGTTTTGCCTGCCCAAGAGAAAACATCCAACCCAAAAATCAAGAAACTCTTCTGAAGAGTTTCAGCTTCATCACAGGTTTCTGTGTCAGGTTTTCCACTCTGACTTCCTTCATCTCTGACTGGCAGCCCTTGGCAGAAAATTTATGGAATGACTGAGAGGACAGATGAGGAAAACCACAAGAGCCTGGATTCACTCTGACCTGGAAATTGGTCTGAGTGTTTTGGAGCAAGGTCCTGAAGCTGGCCAGGACAGAAGAGGTGAGTGAGGCAGGACAGGATTGAGTAACTGCAGGTCCTTCCTCACGGAAACAAGAAAATAGGAAATACAGGAGCAAATGGAAGATAATTTTCATGTTTCCCACTCAACTGCAATGATTTTTAAGTGTGCAGCTCTAAGTCAGTATATACAAATCAGTATTTAAGTAAGTATTGTGGAGAGCAATGAAAAGACAATTTTGTGTGTTATGATTCTGGACTTGTATGGAAAGACAGTGCAGAGACAGAGGAAATTTCCTTTCTGCTTTGTCAGAAACCTGGATATTCCTGTACAGTGCTGTAGGGATGGATTTTTCTTTGTTTCCTCTCATCCCAAAGAAAATCCCTAAATTCTTAAGTATAAAAAATAAATTACACTCCCACAACTTCTTTCAAAATATAAGGATTGCTACAATTACAGTACCAAACTGATCATTCTGTAATTTAATATCAATAATGCTGATACTATTGTGTTTTTAAAGTAATTGTTTTTGGTTTTTTTTAATATTAGCTCTTTAAAATGTTTATCTGATTTTTTTTCCCCCAAAATTTCAGTGTTCACATTCAGGTTGAGACCAAAGTCTGTTTACAGGAATTGGTCAGTTCTGGGGTAATGACTGTTGGCTCTTTAAAGTGTGTTAACTCCTGATTATTTTTTTTCCCCCACTCACATTCATCTTTTTAGTACTCACATTCAGGCAGAGACAATATCAGACCATAAAATGCAGATTTGTTCTCATTACTTGTTCTGGTAAAGCACTTAAAGCTGCCTCTGAACTCAGTTTATTTACTTTAAACTTAAATATCCCCGTAAATAAGGGGATATTTAAAGTAAAGAATGTTTTAAGAAATATCAGGTTGTTCTAAGAGTACAGCTAAAAAATTTTTTGTTAAAGGAGTCTCCTAAAGTCAATTTTCCTGGAAGTAATTTCTGCCACTACCTGGAACAACTCAAAGCCTTTATGGCATTGGGGGCTTCATCCCAGCAATTTAATTCCAATCTGGGAATCTTCTGGAAACACGCTAAAGCATTTCCAGCTCTTGGGATAAGACTTCCCTGGCTGCAGGACCCTGTTGGTAAGACAGGCAATGCATACTCACTCCAGGCCACTGGCAGCAAAGCACTTCAAGTGAATTGTGATCACTTCGGGCATTTTATCGAACAGGAGGCTGCGCTCGGCTTCCGTGTAGTGGTGGCAGTTCTCACAGAAGTACTTGTCCTCTCCCACAATCCTCTCCACTGAGGCAAACTGGGAAATTGCCCATTTCAGAGTCTTCATTTCTGTTTTTGGCTCTGGAGAAACTAGAAAAGAAATCACCGCATTCATGGATATGCCAATATTTACATTTCCAACGCATCCTGCCAGAAGAGCAACAGAACAAAATATGTGAAGCTCAGACCACTGCAAACCTGCAGCACTGCAAAGAACACTCAGTATGTGTGAAATATGTGATGTACTCCAGTCTTTGGAGCATTTCAGGAAGGGATGAAAACATCACTTAATGGATGTCATTGCTCAAAATTAGGATTTTCCCAAAGCTCCTTTCAGATCACACAATTTTGTTGCCATGTCTGGAAATGGAGAGCTTGTATGAAACCAGAATTACACTTATTAAGGCAAACCCCCAAAATAACCAGAAAGTTCCCTCTCACTTCTTGCATTTTGCCTCCCCTGCCACCCTCACACTGCTGACAGGATCACCCGCTGCTGGCAGCACTTCACATACGAACACCACCCCACACATTTTCCTTTGAATCCTTCAGCAAAATGGGGAGCAAAAGCAGGAAAAGCTGCTCCTAATTAAGTCAGTGGCATCTAAAATTAATTCCTTTAAAATTCTCAATTTCAAGATGTGTTTTTGGCACACTTCCTTTTGAAAATAGCTAAAAAACTGCATATAGATCAATAAAATTTGTGAAAGAGACCACATGACTAACATTTACAAACATAATACAAATGTTATTAAAATAACAATCTAAAATACTACATTTTTTTTGAGTAACTAAGAAAAAAAGCTGGATTCTCGTTTCTTTTATTTCTAAGAAAAAATGTAAATATTTCTTACAAAAAGAAAAAGCAAAATTTCTTATCCAGGAAGAAAAAAGAAGACTCAAAGGAAATACCTACTCAAAAGCAGGAAAACAGGTGCCTAAGTGACAGATCGTAGGCAGTCCATGCTATGTGTTAAGATCTGGAACAATTTGAATATTATCTGGATCTGCCAACATTATCAGCACCGTGTTTCCAAAGTCTAAAGTTAATCAGGACAGGAGATAACAGCCTCTAATTTTAGCCAGCACAAACAGGAGCCGTGTTCCTTCCTAACTGCAGCACTGTCCTTCCCCACGGCTGGCTGAGGCAGGGACACACCTCACACCCCTTTTTTGGGGGGAATTACTTACTTTCGGAACTCTCTTCACTTTTAGAAAGTTCATCTTCTTGCACTGGGACACTGATGTCCTGAAAATCCTCCCTCCTTTCCGTGAAGCACTCGCACTCCAAGCACCTCGTCCTCAGCACTAACTGGCCCTGGAAGAGTTTCTCCACCAGCTCGAAGACAGCCAGCTCTGTACCTGGAGAGAGCACATGGCACATCCCTGAGCAAGGGCACTTCATCCCGAGACCCTTCAGCACCTGGTTATCTCACCAAATCACTGCCACACCACGGCCTTTAGGGAGCTCAGACAGGAATTAAAAAGAAAACAAATCACATGCAGTTTTGATGGTATCATCTGCTTGTAAGGAAATAAGGACCCTCTGCTTCTTGGGCCTCAAACTTTAATTTCTGTTCTAAGATTGGGTTCTTGTTTTGTACTTGAAGTGTGACAGTGTCACATGCTCTGACTCCTTAGCACGGGCTGCTGACCTCCTCAAGGAGCACCACACCGTGGGTTTGCCTGGTTTCTGTTCATTCTCAGTCCTCTCCTCCTTCCTAAATTTATTGGCCAGTTGTGGCCAAATCTGCAGAAGAAATGCAGAACTCAAAAAGACTCTTCATTCCTTCAATTTTTTATAAAAAATTGGTGGTGCAAAAGTCCAAATTAGTAAGTACTGGATTCATACTGAGGCCTTTCCCTCAATATGTATCTTGCTCGTTTCATTGACATAAACAAAATCCAGACCTGCCAGCCAATTAGCATTTCTAATAGGTATCTATTAGATCTAAATAGATTAGATCTTTAATACATCCTGAGTCCATCCTGGTTCATGGGAAGGTTGGGAATATGGAAAGATTAGGGAACTGGAAGGGAAAAAGAGGATACTGTTTGTAAAACCATAGCTACTGGGGCTTGGTTCTGTTTGCTCCTACCAGAAATATCCCTTTACACCTCAAATCATTTTGCTCTTTCAAAAATTAGTGGTAAATACAAACCTGGTAATATTCAGCTTTTTTTTATACATATTGTACAATGATTACAGAACGTTTAGAGAAATGCCTCAAGATCTAAGCTAAACAGGTCAAGTTCTAAAAGAAAAAAATTACAAACACGTATAAAAATAAATTCTCTTTCCTAAAAATCATCTTCAATTCCTGAAAAATCTAATTTTGTGTTTAGAGCTCTGCAGGCTGTGCAGTCTGAAGGCTGACTTCCCACGCATTGTACTTTCTTAATCCTACTAATTTTAAGCCCATCCACTTGTGCACCAACCTTCCTTTTTTGGTTCTTTTTCAGTTCCTTTTCCATGATGGCTTTCCACGGGAGACGCTGGTTCATGATATTCTTCTTTACTGTCACCATTTTCACACTTGACAGCTGACTCTTCGAACTCACAGTCATATTCTTTCCCTGGCTCTTTGGATCCCAAGTTTGTAGTTAACTTTCCTAGACTGTAAAATTTGGACAGAATACTGGGCTGTTTGCAGGAAGATTTTAACCAGTTTAACCTAAGGCGCGACTTTTTCTGCGTGGGCTTGGCGCTCTCGCTCTCCCCGGAACACCTGGCAATGGCATCCGTTTGGTTTTCCATCTTTTCTGCCGTGGCTTTCCTCTTGGACCTGGTTTGTCTTTGATTTTCTTCTGCTGCAATTTGCTCTTTTGATACTTTGGATTTTTTCTTGGCGTTGCCGCCCTCGGCGTCGCTTTTCCTTTTCCCGTTTCCCTTGAGCAGCTTCTCCTTGGCCGCGTCCCCGCCGAGGCTGCCCAGGCTGGGATCCTCCTCCTCCGCAGGGCTCACAGACCCATTGCTCTCAGAGCTTTGGTTGGGTTTTTCCTCCAGTTTAGCTGCAGGCTCTTCCACAGGCAGTTTGTTCAGCTCTTCCTTCTTCAGCAGCTGGCAGGTTTCCTGGATGTTCCCCAGGATGCACTGCAGGACCTCCTGGGCATCGTGCTGCAGGTACCCCTCGTACATGGGGTTCAGCTCTCTGGGCAAAGAAAGGAGAAAAAATGAGGGCCTGGCAGCCTTTGATAACTGAGGAATGTGATTTGAGACTGCAATCAGGGATTCAGAAGCCATGGAGGATCATGTCCTCTCTGTCACAGAGGTGGGGGAAGCTCTGCCTCAAGGATTTGCACACCCCAGCAGTGGAGCTCCTCAGCTCCAAGGGAATCCTTCCCATCCCTGGAAGTGGCCAAGGCCAGGCTGGACAGGGCTTGGAGCAACCTGGGATTGTGGCAAGCGTCCCTGCCCATGGCAGGGGTGGGACTGGACCAGCTTTAAGGTCCCTTCCAACCCAAACCTCTGTAATTTAATAACACTTCTCTACCTAAGCACTGTTTTAAACCCCTACAGTCTTACAATTTATTTTCAAATTTCCAACACCATGATGCCAACAATAAGCACAAAAATCTTGCTGCCTGTAAGGCCACCCCGAATTTAAGGCCATCTACCTTGCACCAGCCTCTAAGGCTGGGCAATGTCACAGCCTGGAAAAGCCAGGACAGAATTCTGCCAGCACTTAAGGGGATTTGTACCTGAGGGTGTTGAGCAGCCTCCGGGGCTGAGTGGCCAATTCATCCGTGTACTTCTCTGGGTTTAGGAGAAAACTGGCCTGAAGCTGCTCAACTGAGAGGATCAAGGAGTGCAAACTGCAGATGAGCTCGTAACTTGCCAGGGGATCTTCTTTACAGCTTCCCTGCAAAGACAATGTGAAAGGAATAAAAACACTTGCAACAGGTACATCGGTCACAAATTAACATTTGTCTCTGCTCCCCTCCCTTGGTTTTCTGTATTTGGCTGATTTTTTTGTCTGCTATGGGAGCAGGTGGGTTTCAGACACTATTTTGGTTTTTTTTCAAGTAGGAAACAAATGTAAAAGCCCAATTAACCATTGGTTTAAAATCCCAAACCATCCTTGCCCAAACTCCCATTTCCACCAGCTCCAGGCACTGTTTCATAATTATCTTTGTGCCAGAGCATGGTCAGGTATCTTCCCCAAATTTCTTCTGTTAGACTTTAAAACTTGTGCTAAAGTTCAGAACAACTCAAATACATCTTCACCTGAAGTAACAGATCAGAAAACAATGCTGAAAAGCTCCAGAAATCAGTTAAATTTTCCCTGTATTCAGGACAGCCTCGCTTGCAAGGTTACAAATAAAGAACATGTGGGGATTTGTTACCTTTTCTGCCTTTTGCTCTCCTTCATCCTTTGAAGATTCTCTCTTCTTTGAAATAATGTTATATAAATGTTTTACTCCAGTTTTAAAACCAGGACAAAAATATAATACCTGCAAGCAACAGTTGAAAACACAAGAATAAGTGAGTAAGAAGCTATTCCACACATAAATGCACATCTATAACCCACACAGCTCTGCACCTCCCCAGGCACACAAAGATCCAGGATTTTTCACAGCAGGGAGCAGCCCTGAGTATGGAAAGTGAAGAATTTCCCAATCAGGACAACCACAGGGCACACATTTCCTGCAGCAGCACCTTCATTTCCCGGCTGTACTGAGATGCCCTTTGCAGGCAGAATAAACTGATTTCAGCCACTCGTGCTGGACCAAAGCCTCCCCTCTGGAGCCCCTGGACGTGGCCTCACCTGCAGGACACTGTTCAGGTAGCAGGTGTTGCCCAGGTTGTTCAGGCCCACAAAAGGCAGCATGTTGTCTTTTTTCTCACAGCTGACAAGGGAGGGGGGCTGAGCTGCAGGAACCACCTGGTCACTGGGAAACAGAGAAAGGGGTAAGGGACACTCTGGAAAAAGCACTCCTTCCTCTCTCCCCAGCTCAGGGAATTCAGCACTGAGAAATGCAGATCTAAGCCCTGCACAAGTGTGTCTGAATTCACTCTGAGTCCTCAGCAACCCACCCAGAACCACACAGGAGGAAATCCTGCTCTAAGCTCCACCACATCAAATAGCAGGAGACTGATTTAAGGGAGCAAAACTTTCATATTTAGATACTTTTGTATGCTCTTTCTTCTTTCATAAGGCAGAAAATATGTGCCTAGAATGTATTTTTACATTGTCCCCTGCTCCAGTCACATCATTTCTGGATCCAAAGCCAAAGCATAAAATCAGAAAAAAAATCTAAAAAAAGAAACCAATAAACCTGACACTCTGTACAGTGATTATCATTATTATTAATCACTGCTAAAAGTTATGAACACACTGTAATGACACAACAGAACCAAATTTTAAAGTCTCCAACTATTTCTAACTGACCACAATTTTCTTTTTCCCACTTAAATCCCCTCCCCAATGAAATCCAGAAATTCCCAATCCAGTGAAACAGATTTGCTCAGGGCCCGAAAAGCCCCAGTGAATGACAGGCAACCCCACAACTAAACATCCTACTTATTTCCAGTAAAGCTAACCTTGCAGAAAATTAAATTTTAACATAAATAATTCAGTGACACAATAACTACTTATATTAACTTGAAGCAAAGCAACTTTTTCGACTGATCCCAAAGTTTGTGCCAACTAAACACCAGAAGAAAAAAACCTAAAATATCAAAAGAGCGAATTGCAGCAGAAAAAAAAAAAAAAGAAAAAAAACACAAAAAAACCACCAAAAAACACCAAAAAACACCAAAACTTGTTTGCTTAAAAAAAGTTATTAGAAGTTGGTCACAGTGATTAAACAGGTTTTAAAAACTAACTTCAGCACGCGACCCCGAAGTTTGTGCCGACTGAACATCCCCGGTGCGGCAAAACCAGAAGCTGGTTTCTGTTTTTTAGCACAGAAATGGGTTACGGCAGCGAGCCCGCTCAGCCCCACGGAGCCGCCCCGGCGGTTAATTTAACGTAAGAACGCGTTAATTTAATTGAAGCGCACGTTAATTGCACGGAGCGCGTTCTGTGTGCGGGGAGGCGAAAGCGAAAGGAGCGGGGGAGGAAGGCAGGATGGAAGGAAGGCAGGCAGGATGGACCAAGGGAAGGATGGAAGGAAGGATCAGGGGAAGGAAGGATGGGAGGATGGAGCGCCTCGCAACTTCTCCCGCGCGGCACTCACATCTCGGCGCCGCGGAACTCCGCGCCCTTCGGCTCATTTTCCTGCGCCTCGATGAAATCCAGCACTCGCTTCGCCTCCTTCTTCTGAAAGAGCTTCAGCGACAGCCGGTTCTTCTTGGAGGGGCTGGCCCTGGCGCTGTCGCCGGGCAGCACGCCGGGCATGGCTCCTGCGGGGCGCGGCCGGGGCGCTCACACCTGGCGCGCACACACACACACACGCGCACACCAGGCGCCATTTACTCCCCGAGGGGGCCGAGCGCGGCCCCGCCGCCCCCCGCCCCGGGCTCGGGCCGCCCCCCCGCGCCCCCCGCATGTTCCCCGCGGCCGGCGGGGCCCGGGCCCGCGGTGCGGCCGCTCCCCCTCACTCACCGCTACATGCCGGCCCCGCTCCCGCTCGCCGTTGCCATGGAGACCGCGGGGACACCCTCACACAACTTGGCGCGTTTTTTTCCGCGCGCCGGCGAGGACCCCCCCCGCCCCGCGCGCGCGCCCCGCCTCGCGCCGCAACCCCCCCCTTCCACGCCCCGCCGGAGGCCGCCCCGAGAGAACGCCGGGAAACACAGCGCGCCCCGGCGGGGCGGGACGGCGGGTAAAAGGCATGGCGAGCGGCGGCGGGGCGTCTGCCGGGAGGCGGCGGACAGAGCGGCGGAGGCCGGGCGCCGGAGCTATGCCGCCGGCGGCCCCGCAAGGCCGCCGCCGCATCAGGCAGCGCGGTGGGCAGCCCGCTGTGGGTCCTGCCTGGGCGCGCGCGGGCGCTGGTAACGGCCCGGCCAAAGGGCTCGAGTTCGGGCTGTACCATTTGCGTGGGGAGAGCCCTCTACCACCCCCGCCGGCGGGAGGGGGATTGGTCCCGCTGTGACCACGCCCCGCGTGCGGCTCGGCCAATCAGAGGCGGCGGCTCCGTTCCCCACCCCCCCCCGCCGTGAGGGCCCGGCGCGGCCGCGGAGCCTTCCCGCGCTTTTCCATAAAAACCGAACATTCCAGCGGGAATTGCCGCCGCAGCCCCGCCCAGAGGCCGCGCCGGCACACCCCGCAGCGAACTGGCCTTATCACTGGGGCTCTTAGGGCTGTTTAGGGGTCCGGAATGAGGGAAAATGCTGGGAATGTCCGCGTTCTGCTCTTTGAACTGCCCCCTCCAGGCTGCACATAAAGGACGCACATTGCTTACACATAAAGGTTTTCTACCAGGGAGGTTTATTCACGTAAGGTATTTTGTAGGTTTAATTACATAAGTGACTCTGGGCAATACCCAGATCTGAGTTTTGGGGTGAATTACCCCAAATTTGAGCACTCAAAAGCTGAAGTTCCCCAGGACCAGCTGCTGCTGCCTCCCCCGACTGTGACACTCCTGTTATGCACCAAAGCAAACTGAACTCCACAAAAATCACCTTTCTTTTTTTTTTCATTTTTTTTTTTTTCAGTTTTTCAATATTTTTCAGATTTTTTTTTTTTTTTTTTTTGCTGCTGCATAAATTAATTATTACAGCAGGTCGATATCCCTAAATACTTCTATGAATTATGGAAGGAATTGTGTGTATTCCAATAGTCACGGCCATGCTCCTGCACAGGTTTTGGTTTCTCTTGCAGGTAGAATTTCCCCGTGTGCCTGCAATGCAGGGCTCAGATTCCCGAGGTGGATATAATGATTTATTTCCTTTCCCTGTGGGATCCCCAGAGCTCAGGAGCTGCTGGGATCCTGCGTTCCCACAGAGCATGGATGGCTGGATTTCCCCCGCAGCTCTGCCTGTGAACTTTAGCTCCACTCAACAAACACTGCCCGGGGTCCCTGCAGTTAATAGACACTCAGCACTACAGAGGCTCTTTTGTGTGAGAGCGGAGCCTTATCCAGGTGGGTGGTGCCCCAGAGGTCCTGGAAGTGCTCGGCTGATTAATAAAGTGATTAATTAAGCCAGTGTAACGCTGCTGGGGATGCCTTGTGCAGGCTGCTCTGGAGCAGAGCTCCAGAACAAAGCAGGGATTGATTCCAAGGATCTCCTCCATGGATCCACCTCGGGCAGCAGCAGAGCCCAGCCAGGGCTGCCCCCAGGATGAACCCAAATGGCCCCAAAATGCACGAGCGCTGCCGGGGTCTCTCCCTGGGCTCAGCTCTGCTCCATGTGCACATTGCAGTGCAGTGTCCAATCCCACTGCAGCCCCTGCAGTCCCACCCTGCTTGTTTTTCTCTCTGCAGCCCACGGGCTTTGTGCTCCTGGGCTGGGATTGGGATCATTTGTCCTTGGTGCCCAGCTGGAGCAGGAATTGTTTTGTGTCCCTGCTCTGTGCAGAGCTCCCCATCCCCTCGTGTGAAGCCCAGCCCCACACACTAAAGCAGCTCAGAGTCTGGAAATAGAAAACCCAAAACCTGAGGCATTGCCTGAGGAGTCGCTTCAGTGGCAGCTGGAAGGTGCTGGGCAGTCAAACCCAGGGCTGTAAAGGGAAAATCTGGGAGTGTTTGGGCCTTGTGGCTGGATTCCAGGCTGGAATGCCCTCGGAGGGCAGGGCTGCTGTGACACAGAGGTGCCGTGCCCTGGCTGCTCACCTCAGCTCAGGTCTGCCCTGCCCAGGCCTGCTGGGCACTCTGCTGCAGCAAACAGGGGGGAAGGCTGTTTATACCCAAGGGTTACAGACTGAGTCTAAACCCACGTTAGGTAATTCCTCATTTCATGTGCCAGCTGAACTCCAGGGTGCTCGTGCCTAGGAATGCCATCAGTGATGTCAGAAGGTCGAGATTTGGGGGTAAAGTCAGGCTGGGGACATTGCCAGGCTCAAGGTTTGGCTTTTTGGGGCAGCAGCTGAGGGAAGGAGGGAAAGGAGATGTTTGCAGAGCAAATGTGGGGGACTGGAAATGCACACAGCATTCCCCATGGTGGTGATGGGGCTTTGGTCTGTGTGTTACCTTTTTTTTTTTTTTTTGGCTAATGAAGCAGCAGCTCAGTTTCTATAGGTATAATCATTATTTTAGTGCACAAATGCATCTGCCACACAAGCAGTATGTAAGTGAGCCCAACACCTCTCAAAATACTCACTCAGCACTCGTTTGGAACAGCTTTACCTGCTCTTCCCACAGTGTGGGGACAATTCCCAAGTTCTCCCTTTAAAGAGGTCTGTGCTGAGCTGTTGTGCAGCCCAGCAGGGCTCAGGGTCTGGTCTGCTTCCTGGATTTTTTAAAATTAAAATGAAAACTTCCTGTTTTACTTTTTCTGCTGGTAATTTCATCTGATTACATATAACCCTCGGCCTGCTGTAAATAATTTCTCTCCCTTAATATACTCACAAATTGCTCCCTAATTCCCCATGATCATTATTTTGACCAAACCATGCATATGTCATTTTTAATTTCCACTCTAAATTAGTTCTCTCTGGCTGTGAGAGACAAAGCCAATATAATTGTGAGACATTCTGAGTGATATTTAAGCTTCCCCTCTGCCACCTGGATGGAAAACTGGGGTGAAATCTTAGCTGCAGGTCTGCCACTTGATTGATTTTTTTTAATTAGGCAACACAGTCACACTTCTGCCTCTCCTTTCTTCCCTCTCACCTTTCACTGTCGAGTTCATCAGCTGTAATCCCAGTCCAGGTTGTTGTTGTACCCAAAAGCTTGGGGCACAGGGAGGAATCCAGGCAGTGCCAGCCCCTGGATGCCCAGGGCAGCCTGCTTTGCTGATTCATTACAAAATGCACCTGAAGCCTTGATTTATTTTCGGGCAGCAGGAGCTGCCCTGCTTGGGAAGAAGCTTCACCCACCAGCCTGACATGGAGCTGTGCTGCCTCAGAGACACCCACACAGCTCCATCTCAAAGCTCCATCCTGCAGCTCCTTCCCACCCAGGAAAAACCCTCAGCTCCCTCAAGTCTCCTCTTCACCAGCCTCTCACCCTCTCAGGTTTTTATGCCCTCTCTTAAAATATGGCTCCCTGTCAGTGCTTAATGTGGGGAAATTTTTCCAGCAGGAAAAGGTTGTGTTTAATTGTAAGGAAATGGGGATTATTTTTTTCTGTATCTCTCCAAACCCACAGTTACACCTAATTAAATATTTATGGCAGCTTAGCACGCTCCATAAAGGAACTGTTGTCTAGAAGGCTCTGGAGCTTCACTCCATACAGTAAAGGAGTGTTTCAGGCACAGGCCAAAGAAGGAGCAGGTGCAGGAGGCAGTGATTCCTTACGTAGGGCCCAATGTGCAAAATCAAATTATGTCCAATACTATGGACTTCACAGCCACGTGTTACAAAAATAGCTGTGCTGGGAGACCAGAAATCTTCACAGGCACAGCCAAAAATAACTACATGAAATGCCTGGAAGGAGCAGATTCCCCAGAGATGGGATTTCTGGAGTCCTGGAGGCAGCCTCCAGTACACAGCACGATTCCTAGCAGGGGAAAACCTCCCAACCTTTAGCTGTTGCTGCATCATATAAATCAATTTCCAGAGCCTGCAGCCATATCAGTGATAGGTCTATAAATCTGTCAGGGCCCTGGTATTGTTAGAATTATTCTGTGAATTTTGGTGCAAATTGTGTGCAGACAATGTGCTCTTTCAGCAGGCTTGGATCACACGGGGACCTCGGGGTGGGAAGTTCTGCAGCCCACACTGGGTAAAACCCATTTCATTGCTGAGGAACAGGACTGTTGGTCAAATTCCCCACACAGAAAAGGTAAGAAAGGGTTCAGACTAATAAGAATACTGGCTATAAAAAGTCAGGACAGGACTGGCTTCAGGCACAAGGAAGAGAAATGAATATTTAGGGATTTTATTGTTTGGTGATCCCCACGGTTCATGCAGACTCTGTGCCCTTTCACAGCCAGAAACAGGAACAAATTGTCTGCCTTGCTTTACTCCACAGGAAAGGAAATCTGACTCTTCCCACAGCAAGCAGCCTGGGAATGTCTCAAACCCTGAATTATCCCTGCTTGACGAGCTACATCTGCTTCCAGAGCATCTCCAACCATTTCATAACCCTTCCTTTCACCTCGGTGCTGCTGCTGCTGCCTCGGGCACGTGGGAACAACTTGGCCACTGCAGAACTGCAGTCCCTGTGAGAGCAGCACCTCTGCAGGGCTGTGCCTGGCTCTGGCACCCAAACAGGATGAGTTTGGGCAATGTCAGACAGGGGGTGAGGCAGCAACAGAGCCACTGTCTCCTGTCAGGGGCGAGATCCTGGTTTGGGCCACAGAGCAACTCATTCCCACCTGGGGACTCACAGCAGCTTCAGCCTCTGCCAAGGAAAGCCTGGCCCAAAACCTTGACCTCTGTGGCCAGCTGTTTTCTGGCATCCATAAAGATACAGATTTTAGGGGAGGCAGGAAAGAATAAATCAGACATTGCTACAGTTCTGTAAACTCCACTGAAAGCCTGCATGGAGCTCCTTTAATTTCAGCTGCAGAAGGCAAATGTCAGCTTGGAGTCCTCAGCCACAAGCCATGAGCTTGTCTAAGCACAAACCATAACAAGTTCCTCCATGTGGGAGTGTTTATAAGTTTGGAGGTCAAGGTATTTAGCCACTGATAGCGCAGCCTTGGC